GTTTTGATGAGGAAAACCTCAAGGGAAATGACAAAGAGGTCAAAATTCGCCCGCTTTGGTGTTACAAGGATTGCAAACCCCACGAGAGAAGTCTAGGATTCCTTTCCCATGTCAAGAGCCCCACATCTCTGGGGCTTTGTCACTATTAGCCCCAACCTTCATCTACCCAGGTTTTGATTGTAGCTCAGTTGATTCCCAATTCTCTTGATGCATCGTTCTCTTGACAATCCTTTTGTGTTTCCGGGATGTTTGTTTGAAGAGAAACCCCCTGAACGTTTGGATTGGGACCCTGGAGCCCCCTTGACAAAGCCTAGGTAGGACTTGACAGGATTTGTCTAGGAATTGCAATGAAAAAGGACTTGCCTGTGGAGTTTTATAGACCCTGTGGCTAACAGAATTCGGGAAATTCAAGTCCACCGACCACATAGGTTCCCCATTTTTGCGTGATAGCCAAGTATGTGCCGGGAACATTCTCTTATGGGCAAACATCCTGGAAACCGGGAGGTTCTGAAGAGAACAATGGATCAAGAGAATGAGAACCCTGCAAATATGAAGGTAGTAGGGGATAGGGATTTTCGTATATGATTCATCTGTACCGGGCATTCTTGTGGGTGTGTACCCCTTGGTTTTGACGGGAAGCCAAGAAGAACCAAGGGAAACGAAGGAAGCCAAGTGAAACCCAAGGGCCCCGCAGGTGCTTGGGGCGGTGCTGGAGTTGTTGCGCTGCTTGCTGCAGCACGGTGTCCGGCACAACGACTTGTGGGCCAGCAACATCCTGGTGGTTCGGAAGGAGCGGGCCAGGATCAAGCTGGGAAAACGTCCATTTCCGTAAGCATATGTAAGGGTGTGGGTCTGGAATCCCTAAAACCTGCAGTCCAATTCCTGGTGGCAAAAGTTTGTCCCAATTGTTGGTTTCCCCCCTTGGGTTGTGGATCAAGCTTCCAAGGGGAACTGTGAACAATTCCATTTGCTTGACAATACTAGTTTTCCGCTTTGGGTTGTAAAAGGAATGTATCACTCCTGGAGATATATTTTCACCAGGGACTTAAGCAAAAGGCAGACCCAAGCGTGGTTTTTAGTTAGGTTGTCCTTTAAAACCAAGAGCCAAGGGACGCTTAAAAAGGACATGCGAAGTGACCTAACGACCTTTAGCATCTTCTTTAGGGGGCTACAGCACCTGAATAAACCCCTTGTAAACCCCAAGACCCATACGCACCCCTAGAACCCTCCACCCCAGAGCCTATGTGACCCCATAGCTTTCAGCTGTTGGGGGAAACTGTGGTGCTCAAAAAGTACAAGCCCATATACTGTTTTGGAGCCACAACAACGAGATCCATTGGAACCGTCCCAACAAGGGTACCCTCAAAAACCACCCCTCCCAATTTTTTTTCTATATATATATATATGAATGTCAGAATAGTTGTGGTTTCCTTTTGGCTTTCCTTGAACCTCCTCCCCCCCCCAAAAAAAGAAGAGAAGCAAAAACAAGCAAAGACGGGTGTCCTCTCAACTTTCCCTTAGGGTCAAAACGAACCCCGACCGACCCAAACGGAACCCCCGAGGCCCTCGACACCTCAGAGCTTCCGCTTCGCCTGCTGGCCATCGACTTCGAGGCCGCCGAGCTCCTCGAGGCGCCGCTGATCGCTTCGATCGCTTCGATCGAGCGCGCCATGTGTCGATGTGACCAGCAGTGGGCTAGGTCCAGTAGTGCCCTTTTTTTCTCCCCTTTTTGGGTTGGGAGGGTTCCCCTACTACAACAGACAACCGAAAAAGAAGAAGAAAAAATCGGGTACCCTTATTCTGACCTCTCTACTGGAGGACCTAGCCTTGATGGTTGGGACAAAACATCCGCCGTGGCGTAATTATGTTTCAGGAACTCATCAGCAAAATGTTGCCTTTTTTGTTGGAGATTCTTGTAATGCGGGGTTGAATCCTGGGGTTTGAGCGGCAAGAATACCGTTTGGACTCAGCCCGATTGTCCCATGTCGTCTTGGGGGAGCGTGGGCGTGTGGACGAAGCTGTCCTCTTGGGGGGTGTAAGCTGGGGGGGGAGGGGGGATATAGATGTGGGAATTTGTTGTTAGTTGTTTTTGGTGTGTGTGTGTGTGTGTGTGTGTGTGTGTGTGTTTGTTCGGCTCCATTGGTTCTGCCCCAAACAGAAAGGCCTCCAGGGGATTTTTTTTAGCTTCGACGAAGGCATGTTGTTTCCACAATACGAAAGCTGTCCCTCAGCCATCCCTAAGCTTCAAGAAACAAGGAGGAGTTTTCAACTGCTGGGCCAAAAGACTGGAAAATGGGTGGTTTCCAAAGAGAACCATGGGTGAAGATAATGGAAAAGGAATCAAGGGTTCCCTAAGTTCCCTGGGGGCCCTCCAAGATGCCCAAATGCAGGAAAATGAGGAGCTTTTCAAGAGACCTGACAACACCTCACCCTCGAACACCGCTTGGATGCGGCGAAGGTCAAAAAAGAGGGGAGTTGACTCAGCTAACCCTTAGTTGGTGCTTTGGATTGGTGGTTTGGGATTTGCACCTCTGGCTTTGTAGAGGGTAAATGGGAAACCCCTCCTTAGCCAACGAACCACCAATCCAAACCACCAATCAGAGGGAAGCTGAAAAACCACCCGCTCACCCGGCCAACCATCCAAGCAACCCAACCAGAGCCAGACCTTGTGAAAAGTCCAGCCCTGTGGATGGTTGCAACTGGATTTCTACCCCGCAGGAAGGTTTCTACGACTTCTGGGAGGAGTCCCAAAGTCTGGGCGGCACCGACTCCGCGCTGTCGCGCGCCAGAGACTTTCTGCACCAAAGAGGCGTGCACCCGCAGGACGCGACCAAAAACTCACGCCGGCTTTTCCAAAGCCGGAGACGGAGATGCACGAATCTTTATGGCGCCTATGCGGTTGGTTTGGATCTTTGAACTTGCAAACAACTTGTGGCTTGAAACAGTGGATGTTTGAGTTAAACTTGTTGCAGAGGGGTCAACAGCAACTACGGAATAGTACTCCAGCGGTTCCTTGCCGATTCCCATGAAAATAATGGCCCCTTGAAAACCCAGTTTAGATGACAAATCCTGAAACAATGGTGGTTGGGAGCCGAATGTGGTTTGGAGGTATGGAGGTCAGGTGGTTTCGCATACAGCTCTACAAGAACCATGGGTTTAAAATGTCGAAGCAGGTGTCCGCTAAGTATAGCGTGTTAAAAGGAAGCAACAAGGAATACCAACTCTTTGTTTGTATGTTTATCTCTATCTCTGTCTCTGCATCTCCATCTCCACCTCTACCTCCACATCCATCTCTCTCTCTCTCTCTCTCGCTCTCTCTCTCTCTCTCTCTCTCTCTCTGCGTCTTCTTTGCTTTTTTTGGCGGGGGTGGGCGGGTCGGCGGGTGGGGTGGGCCCCGGATCCCCCCACTTTAATATACTAATGGTTATAAGCGACATGGTTTCATTTTTGTTTTGGTTGTGGATAGGTTTACTACGGCTTGAACTTGGGTAGAGCTCACCTAGCCCACAGGCTTGGGGCACCTTGGCGGGGAGGGTGGAGGAGGTGGTTCAACCCACGGTTCTGACGGCGTAAGGGCCTTAGTTCTCTGATAATCATGGCTATAAACTTATAAACTCTTTAGGTTGTCTTAGAATAGGGCGACCCCCAAAAATGCCAGTGTTCTTTTTGTGTTTCCTCAACTGCCCCGAAAGAGGCCACCAATCAAATTGACGCCGCCCTTTGTGATTACCTATCCGAAAAGAAGAAAGACAGGTACTGGCCGTTTTTGGTAAACGGGAGGTTTCCTTGACCAGGTGCTTTTCAGGGGGTCCTGCTTGGATCTTTTTGGGCTGAACCCCTCCAAAATGGAGGTGTTCCTTTTGGTTTCCCGTTACAACCCACAAAAACAAGGCGTACCAACTCCACCCCTACTGAAAATGCCCACTATTTCAGGGTATCATGCCAACCCTTCACTATAAAAGGAGGCATTTCTCATGGAAACCAGGTTTTGCAAACATACCCTCAACTCGAGAGAGGAGTTGCCGCCGATGGCCCCCAGCTTCCACGCCTTCGTGGGCGACGGCTATAGCAACGCCTTTGAGATGTGGACGGACCGGGAGATGTTGGCCAAGGTCTTAGATCACCACCTAGGCGAGAAGGGAGCCATGGGAACCATGGGGTAAGATGGGGTGTGGCTTGCCTTTTTTTTGGAGTTGGTGCCTGAAAAATATTGGGGTGGCTTTCCTTGTTTTAGCCATGGGTGTGTAATATTTGGGTGTGGCTTTTTGGGGAGTTGGTGTCCCAAATATGGGGGTGTTTCTTTTTTTAGACATGGGGGTTGTAAACTTTGGATTCGGCTGTTGTTTGGGCGTTGGTTCCCCTTTTGTTGGTGGTTTGTCAAGGCAATCCAAACCTCAATTTTGTTTGGGGCGTACCAAAAACAAGGGGTGGTCTTTATTAGGAAACCACGCGCAAACCACCTATAAATAGGACAGGTGCCCTCATATCCAAGTACCCCGTGCAATTCACGATATGATCATGTGTGGCGAAAAAAGGACAAACCTGTCCCTACAAAATCGGGTCTTTCGAGTGTTTTTTTGGAGTTGGTACCCTTGTCAGGTTGGTTTTTTACGGGAAGCCCGCAGGAGCCCACAGCATTTTCGGGGCTCCTTAGTTCAGACATGGCACTTTCTGTGGCCAAGGGAATCCCATGGGAAGGAACCGCTTTGGTATCACTGTGATTTCGGGGCATTTTCTGTGGGGTGAGCCGTTCTGTTCCCTACCCGTGTTCTCGCGGTGTACTTTTTGAAGTGTTTTTTTTCACCTTGCTTAGGGATGCCAAAAGGACAACAACCACCAGTTTCGTGGCGTGGCGATTCCTAGCCCTGCGAGTTTGTTTTTTCGGCTTGCGCAGGCGCCGGGGCGCTGGCGGAGCTGGCGAGGCCTTTCCGGCCCTTCCTGGAGGCGTTGGGGTCGCCGGGCACGGAGTATCCGAGCTGCGAAGACGACGGGACGTGTGGCCAGGAGCGGAGGGGGGGGGGTTAGGAGGGGAGGGGAAGGTGGTTCCGGGGTTCGCTGGTTTGAGCAAGTTATGAGAAATACAGATTTTGATTCCTAGGTTGGTTTCCAAGAATATCTTGGATTCTGAAGGCGAAACATGAAACATCATTTTGAACTGATGATTTTCTGTGTACCCCAGCTGTGGGCCAAGTTGATGGTTTTAAGCAACATTTGCTGGGCCAGTTTAAGCTTTGACCAAGCAAGCCGTTTTGGACTAGGGCCAGGCGGGTTGAGGAGGATTCTTTAGCCTGAGAATTCACCCATGGCCGTGAAAGGGAACCTACCAGCCGGTTGGGGCTGCTTTGTCAGCCATTTTCAACACCCTGAGCTGTCAAAAAAGTTGGGTGCGTTTTTTTCTTTTTCGCAGATTCATGGCCAAATACTCAGCCTGCAGCGAGGAAGGGTGGCAACTGGACGACCTTTGGCAGCTGCTCAACGTGTGAAGCTTCGATGCCATCGATGGATCAGGAGCCTTGTGCCTGGGCAACGGCCTGGTCCAAATTCCGGGGTTCAAAACCTGCGATGTAAATGTGTGAAGGGGGGGGGGACAGCGGATGCCCCCCCAAAATGTTGGCGTTCCTTTTGGTTTCCCTTCGCGAGGTAACAACTCCCAGCGAGGCTGGCGGGACATCCAAGAAAGCCAAGGCCCCGATGGCGCCGCGCTGCACATGGCAGGGAGGTGAGGTGCATCCTGGTCTCAGACTCGCCGAAGCGACGCCGCACATATCCACCAACCTTTGTTCGGGCAAAACGACTCTCAGCTTCCGACTGCACGAGGTCCTCGCGGAGAACCACAGACGCGCATTTGCTTTGAAGGGGGCAAAATGCCCACGAGAGTTCCTACGGATCTCTGCAAGCTAAGTCCGGCAAAGCGACAAAAAAGGCAGAGGCGCGCGTGGACGCGCCCCGACTGGTCACGAAGCAAAGAAGCCTTGATGTCGCTTGTGGAGAGCAGACCGAGGGTTAAAACTTGAGCTCCCCAATGAGGGTTAAAACTTGCTGGAGCGATGGTTGCATTTTGGTACATATTTGAGCATTCTTTGGGGTGGGAGATCCGAAACACCCCTAGAAGAAGAGGTCTGTTTGAACCTCCCTTTTTGTTTTGGGTATCTTCCACGGCAGTTTGTGTGGTTTTCATTACCGACCTTGCATGTGAAGAGATGGCCCAGAGTCAGTGAAGATTCCGTTGACGGTTCCCCATACCTTAGGGTACATCCAAGAAGCTTGGCGTGTTCTCAGGAAGTACTACAAGATCCCTGGGAACGACCCCAACCAATTATCCGCAAACTGGCAAGATCCATGGGTATCTACGGGCGGGGATTCTCAGTTTTATCGCATTTTTATGTTTCGCTGCTCACAAAACTCAAATACATGTTGGCCAGTCAAAGAATCACCCAAATGCCAGGATTCAAATCGCTGGTTTCAGCAGGTGGCTTTGGAGGTAGGCACCTGTTTTGTTTCTTCCCCCCTATGCCAACAGGGTATTTGGGAGGAATCCCTTCTCCCTACTAATAAATGCACCCTGTTTGTACATATCGTTTGGGCCCCAGAGAACAGAAACCAACAGTTCTTTTTGTTTTTTTTTGTATTTACAATTAGGGGGAAGGGAATCCGGGGGTACTCCAAATCATGATCCAAGTCCTGGTATCGGCAGGTGCCCCGAATGAAATTTCTTGGAGGGAACCTAGACCAATTTCATCAAGGAGCCCCTCATTAGGGTTTAAGGAATCCCAAATCCCCTGTTTCCTCCAATGGAACCTGACGTTTCGGGGGTCCCTTTAAAAGGACAATGGTCTTCCCAGCACCCGCCGAACGTCAGGTTCCATGTTTATTGGAGGGTAATACCTTTACTAACTGGACTGCTACTGGGTTGGATCTTTAGACTGAACAACTTTTTGGAGAATCAAGGGCTTTTCCACTAAACTCACAGAAAGTTAAACTTTTTGCAAAGGGGTCAACAGAAACCAAGCCAAGGCCTCGAGGCCTTTGGATGAAGGGAGGGGTCTGCTCGCAAGGCAGCCCCGCGCCGGGGTCTCCCCACGCAGGCCCAGGGCTTCGGAGGGGCCCGTTTTGAACGTCACGTCTTTGCTTTTTTGGGTGGGTGGGTGGGTGGGTGGGTGGGTGGGTGGGTGGGTGGGTGGGTGGGTGGGTGGGTGGGTGGGCTTATATGTCATGACTATGTTATGACCATGATGCGTCCTTATGCGTCCGATGTTTGAGCATCGCCAATTTGGGCATTCGAGAGATCAGTCTCCTTTTGGCAGAGTGATTCTTGACGAGGATCCTTCTTTCCGGATTTCCACCACGGGCAGGGAAAAGCGATGGTTTTTGAGTTGAACAGAATGGGGAATCAACCCCCTAGACCTATCCGTTCAGCAGGTTTCTCAAAACGGTGGCCCGTATCTGGTTTGATTGCGTTTAGCTTTGGCCCAGAATGAACATCAGCGTCCTCAAAGTTCTCCGCCAACTGGTGGTTTGAACTGATGCCACCCTAAAAGGAATCCTGAAGACCCTCAAGATATTGACGTTTAAGGGCCCCAGCTGCAGGCCGGGGAGACTTGTCAGCCGAACTCCCAAGGTGGGTTGGGCATTTCCGCGATCAGACTGGCACTTTTCATAGCCCCCTTGGAAAGTGCCCTTTGATTCTTTGCGGGGGGGGGGGGGTGCAAGCTGGGATTGTTGCATGAGAAAGGCACTTGGCGCCAGGGGCTGTTTATTGATGAAAGCTGTCGGTGGCTTCCCTCATTTTTGCTTTGGGAATGACAGCGAATTGCCCAGCTGTGCGTGCTTGGAGGGAAAAAGCCCAGTCGCCATGTCGGCACCAAAGCCGGGCTGAACTTCGAAATGCGGAATGTTCAATGTCGCCTTTTCTTTGCTCCACACAAGGCCATGGACAGACGGGGTCTGGTGACGTATCCAGATGTTGTGCTCGGGCTCAGATCGTCCCAGGCAACTTTCGAAGTGTCTTGCTCTCGCCGGGCGCTCAGAGAGAGAGAGAGAGAGAGAGAGAGAAATGCATGTGCTGTGGTCAAAAACCCAAACTCGAAAGTTGCATTTTAAGGGGGAGAGGTTGCATACTTGGAACCTCACACAGGATGGGTGTTGGATTCATCGTCACTTCCTCCCACTAATACGTGTGGGTATCTGGAAGCAGCGATCCATCTGTTCACTACCGCCAAGGGTAGACTTAAACCCAGTTTAAGTCTACCGCTGGCAAAGTAAAACCCTGGGACGGATTTTGTTTCTTTCGCGGCCGGTTGGCCAGGGACATGTTTTTTTTGTTTTTGTTTTTCCTCTTCTTCTTTTTGTGTGTTTTTTTCCTTATTTTTTCTATGTTTTTGTTTTTCTTCTCGCGGCTGGTGGGCGAATTCCTGGCTCGTTGAAAAACTGCCCGGCGCCCAAAATCCAGCGAACCAGCGAGCCGTTGGCCCAGGCCGCAGCCGCTGTCGCGGTCGCCTTCGCCGGTAGGCGAGACGGAAGCCCCTCCAGTGACGGGCGGAAGCTTTTGCGCCAGCCGGAACTGGAGAGAGACCGCTGCTCCAAAAATACCCGTGTTTTTTGTGTTTTTGTTTGCTTTGCTGGGGCACTTTTTGTGATTTCCTGATTTCTATCATACCTGGGGTCATTGTTTTGACCGTTTCTAGGGGTCCCTTGGTATTTGGAGTGGGGGATAGGCTCCGTTTTGGTGTCTCCACATGTATGTCTGGAAAGCCCCCTTTTGGTTGGCACTTTAAGGGAAACCAAAAGGAAATCAAGGGTTTCTGCCCAGCAAATCCTATGTCTCCCCAGGTCAGGCTGAAATTTGATGGACAAACACCAGATCATTTCCCAGCCCTTTGGGTAGGATTTTCAGTTGACCCTTCGGTTGGTTTCATGGGATATGTGCAACCCAAATTGCCGCTTTTTATTTTTATTTTTAAGCAGGTTCCCTATTCAAGTCACCCGATTTCTTTTTTAAAATGATGACACCTACTGATACAGACCTCGCAGCTGGCAGCTGCGTGTTGTTGAATTTGTAACCATCCGCGCCAATTCAGACCATGTGAGAAGTTTAGACTGTGGCACATACAAACCCATGGCCATTGCGGACTCTTGAGGCTGGCCGTTCAGAGATACAGGGATAGGGATCTTGCCAATTGTAGGGGTTAGCAAGCCCATGAACATCAGTATCAGGGGTTGCCCTCTCCTAAAGACTGGCTTCGGTTAAGTCGTTGCGGGAGTTCCCCAAAAATTATTGTCTTAAAATGTGGGATCCCAAAAAAATGCGGGTGCCAAAAAACGGTAAGCGAGGCCTGCCGACGGGTCACGCCCAAGCGTGCGCGGGGCGGATCGCTCGATTCCGTAGGGCGGATCTCGCCACTCATCACCTGGCGGCAAACCCCGTCCTCGGCCCAGGCGGGTGTTTCGCACGGCCGGCGTCAGAACAGGGTCGTCTCCTCCACGAGTTTTGTATTTTAGGGCAGACTAAATATGACAAACATCTCAACGTCTTAGATATTTTCTGTGGCAAAGCAAGGTGACTTGCTTTTGGAGCTCTCAAACGTGTGTTTTGGTCTGAGTTTTGTTGAAGTCATTCGGAGCGCTTTGGGGATGTCATGGGCACTCATCAATCAAGGGGGCCTCACTGAGATTCCCATATCTTCGCGTGGCGCAATGGGGTTGCGAGCGTAACCATGTCCAACAAATAGAACATCAAAGGATGGAACATTTCTAGGGGTTGATTCCAACCATTCTTTTCAAGCATTGTTCTTTTCAAAAACCAGCTGTTTCTGCAGGGGTTTGGGTGGTTGTTTTGAAAGAAGGATGCCTGGAAAGAATGAGAAAGGTACCCCTAGAATTGATACTGCGGTGATCATTTCGTTTGTGTTTCTGAGCACGAACGGGGCACTCCTTTGGATGGGTCCTTCTCATTTGTTTGTTTGCTTCTTCTTCTTCTTCTTCTTCTTCTTCTTCTTCTTTTCTTTCGGGGGGGGGGGGGGCAAGACGGGGTAGGTGTCCCATTCAAAAACCACCGACCAAGAAAGATCGTCGCAGGGCGCCGGGCTTCCAAGTAGCTTTCGGGAATGGAGGAGAAGCTGTAAGGCGACCGCGGTGAAAGCTGTGGATGCATGAAAATCCGCGAGCAGAGCTAAGCCCCCTAGCTAGGTGCCCTTTTACCGTTTCTTTTTTGGGGGAGGGTTCCCCTACTAAAAAAGACTACAGAAAAAGGGTAATTACCCTTATTTGGATGCTTGGGCTGAATGGGAGAAGCAACCAGTATGTAGAACATAGAACAACAAGTTCCCACCACCCGCTTCTATTAGGGTATATGTGGAAAACACAATTCTGTTTGTATGGTACATACCGTTTTGCTTGAGCCCCCCCCAAGAAAACACAAAGACGAGCAAAACTCTCCAACAGCAACCCAGAGCTTCGGAACCCTCCCTAGCTGCTCCCTTCACTCCGGAGGCTGTTTGCGAGACACCCATAGCTTTCAGCTGTGGAAACAGTATCTAAGGATTTTCCGATTCCACCCTGGAATTATCACCCTAGCCTGGTTCCAAACAAAACGCTGGCTATTTGTTGGGTTCGGGATTCCTTTGTGTAATTTTTGGGTCTAATCTCCCGGTGTCGGAACATCCGGGGAAAGTGCCTCAATTCTCCATGACCCTTTGAAAGCGCCTGGAGTCACGACTCATTTTTCTAGGGCTCAGAAGGAGACTCTACGTGGATATTCTGGAGGTGGATGTCCGGCTGATTCGAAGCGCTCGCCGCTTGCCAGTGCCAGCCCGGTGTGCCGCTGACGGCCGCGGACTCGTTCAATTTGGGGGGAGAGAAGCCGATGGATCGGCCCTTTGAGGACACCTCGATTTTTGGGGGTGGGTTTAGAGGGGAAACCAAAGGGAGCACCGAAATATCCACTTTTTGGGGGGGTCCCCGTTGTTTTTTGAAAGACCAACCCAGGTCTGGTTTGAAACATCACGTTTTCAGCGCCTGGTGAGTTTCCTTTTGGTGGGGTGATGTTTTTTTGGTTGGACATGTAGGGGTCCCGACTCTAGGGGGGAAATTTCTGAGGAAGCCCTGTGAACAGGGATGCACCTGCCAACTGGTCCAGGTTTTTGCCGAGCCATCCCTTGTGGTTTAAGAAGGAATCCATTTGCTGAAATGAATCTGGTTTCTGTTCCCTTGGTTTCAAAGGGACTCTATCTCCGGAAATTGTCTTTCGGGGCCCTCCGCCAGTTCACACATCCTGCCGTTTCGGGGGTCCCCTGAAAAGCTGTACCTTGTTTCCCTTTTGAAGGGACGCCCCGGTGGGTTCCATGCTAAGTGGCGGTGCCTTCCAGGTGCGATCGCCTCCGCGGCAAAGGGCCTTTGTGCTCGCCCTAGCTTGCGCCAAAGCGACCAAAGCTGCATGGTTCTACCTGCCCTGAGCTTGGGCCCCTCAAACAGGCTTTTTTTTGGAGATCCAGACCCCGTCAAAGGGTTCTTTCTGAAAATTTGGGTGGTTTGAATGCCAGAAGGGCCATTTGAGGTGGGAAGTTCCAAATGGGCGTCTTTCTTTTGAGGGTAGCCTAGTGTTTCAAGGCAAACCACAAGGAACATTACCATTCTCCGGGTGCAAGCCACAAAATAAAATTGGAAGTGCGCGAGGGGAGGTGTGCGAGTTCAGTTTTCCTCTGCTCCAAGATGTCCAAAAGCAGGTCCCCCAGCAATTTTCTGTCACCCTGATGGTTGGTGCGTTGGGCTCCATGTTAATCTGCGGATCTCGAGGCGCAGCCTATGGTTCCCTTCCAAGGCATGGGCCGAAGGGTTGAGCGTCCGGCCTCCCTGGCCCACTTGTTGAACAAGGGTTCCAGGGTCATGGAGGAAGGAACTCACGAAATGTGCCACAACTCTAGGGGTTCATTCCTTTCCATGCCTTTCAACCATCGTTCTCTTCAAAAACCCGGATCCGTTTTCGCTGGGGTTAGTAGAGGTTTTCTAGAAAAGAGGGATCCCTGGAAAGAATGGGGAAGGTACCCCTAGAATAGTGGTTGTTTCAACAGGGGCCAAGCAAGGCCCCCCTCAGAAGCACCCTGAGACAATTCTTTTGTCAATGTATTTTTCCTTGGTGGTTCCTTCATGTGTGGTTTCTTTCCAAGTAATTTGCCCAGAGGGCTTCTGGCCGAGTCCGGGAAAAAGCAAATCCCTCAAACGGGGGTCATAAGGAAGACTCTGTGACCCTTTCCCCAACGCATCACACTTCGCGAGTCAAAGCAAAGAACCCTTGCAGGTGGGATTTGGATCAGTCAAAGGGCTCAACTCTGGGGAAGTTTGACCGGCCAACCTCCTAAAATACAGGCTAACATAAGAGGCTATGTAACTATATGATATGTGTATGATCATGACTATGTAAAGTACCCCGCAACATCATTCAACTTTTTCAGGGCCGCTTCTTGTCCGAAATTAGCGGGTTATCAATCGATTTCCTTTCGAACCTCAACACCCCCAACTTTTTGTCGTTGATTTTCTTGGCGGGGTCTCCAAAAACAAAGACGCACCAGGCCCTTAAGAGAAAAACCGAAGCCATTCCGGCTGGGGGGGGGTTCTTCTAAACTCTTAAGAAACTCTGGAATGATTCCATTGGTATGATTCGAACCATGGTTTCATGTCGTGGTGCGAGAAGCGGGTTTCGCAACCATCCACAGTGTCACTCGGTTCATTGAGTGAGCTGGAACAGACGATGAGTCAAGCGAAATGGATGAGACCAATCACCAAGCAGCAAAAACATCCACCGCCTCACAGAGATCAAGGCCAACAGCCTCACTGGGATCAATCCACCCCCCACACCCAAAAAAAAAACGTCCACAGTAATGACTGGGGTCGTCCATCCGAAAAACTCCTGCAGAGCGCATCGGGATCCGCAAAACCGCAAGGGCCTGGCCCTGCACTGGTCCAACCCTGGGCCTTGCGAGAAGCGCCTGGCCCGGCGCCCAGAAAAAGAAAATCGGATCGCCGCTTGGTGTGCAGCTTTTTCGCTGATTCTTTTTTTTTTTTTTTTGGGGGGGGGGTGGTGGTTCGGGCTTGGGTTTGGGTTTAGTTTTTGTGTTTGTTTGGGTTGTTGAATGGCTCGATATTCACAAGGTGAGTTTTGTGCGTTTTACTAACGGCGGTTCTGAGCCGAATACGAAGCGCGATTTTATATGTTAATATGTGGTTTTCACCTTATTCGTTTAAATTGGCTGAACATCCGCTTTAACGTGGCTGTTGTGAAGCTTGTCAATGGCGTGTGTTTGCTTGACTCGTTTTTCTTCTTGACGGGGGTTTGCTTTCCGTGGATGGGATGTTGCTTTTTCCCTGTCTGGCTGGATGGGTGGCTTGGCTGGCTGGCTGGCTGGATGGTTGGTTGGCATCATTCGACCATTTTGGCTGATGCAGCACAGAAAGCGCACAGGCTTGCCCAAATGATGCTGGTGATGCTGGGGATGTTGCCACTCTAACACCTCTACCCCTTTTCACCTCCCCCGCCAGCTTGGTGCTGGAAAGCTGATTGCACGCCCCGTCCATTGCAACAATGAAGCATGTATGAGAAAGGGATGGGGGCCGAGCTCAGCTGACATTTGGCTGTGCGCAACCCATGGTACCATTTTGGAATAGGTGCACCACCCATTCTAGTGGGAATTGGGATGAATTCACTGGGGCTACGGGAGTTTGATCCACCGCCTGCCCCCCGATCTCTGGCCGTTGAGGCGGCGGAGTTTGGAACGGCTCGGCCTCGAGCCTGTCCATCAAACCAGTGCGTGGCTCAGGTCTTGGCTGCTTGCAACACATGCCTTATTTGTAGAGCATGCCCCGGAACGTGCGAAAAAGTGGGTTCCGGTGAGGCAACGTGTCACTCATTTGGCCAGGTTGTCCGGGTCCTGTGCTTCAGTTGGCCGGCCTAGTGGTTCACTGATGTAACTTATGTGAGCGACAGTCAATAGAAGAATTGTCTGTCCACGGAATCCACGGTTTTCCGGGGGCCGCATGGGGCATACGCACCAAAATGCCATGAAGCAACGCGGGGGGTACTCCGTAAAATCCGATGTCACACCGCCTGAATATGAATCCTAGTGCCGTGCTTGTGGAGAAGGGGGGGGGGGGGTTTAGGTTGCCACTCATTTTTCCCAACAGCTGAAAGCTGGGTCGATCGGCTCGGATGGGCTGGTTGCCAGCTTTCGGGGAGGCTTCAGGAGGGTTGCAGTCCGCTGGGGACAGCACCTGGGCTGTTTCCAGCCATGGAACTAGCAAGGCCCAAAAGACCGGCGTTGCCGCGCCTCTGTGGGTCCCCAGCTCAAAGGGCACTTGGGCCAAGTACCAAACACCCATTTGGCGGAACTGGGGTTGAAACCCAGCTAGTTCAAACCAATTGGAGGGAAGCTCAAACAAATCCGACCTTTGATATTCTTGATTTGATGGTAGGGGCTGCATCTCATGACTCTCTGTCTCAGGCCAGAGCAGAGCAAGTTGCCATGTGGCCGCCTCGGCTCCGCAGAAGGTTGCAGGAAGTTTGAGGCTGGCATCAGGGGAGAACCTTCAGACCATTGCCAGACTTACCCTTCCTTCGTTTTCCCTTTCACAAGTCAAGTGTTTGGTCCAGGTCCAGCCCAGGGATACAATCAAAAGGGCATTGGCAAGTCTGGGATTCTCGGCAGGCAAGAACTTTTGCCCGATGGCCACGGTTTCCGCGTAAGACTTCTTGTTTAGGATATGGGTGTCTTGCAAAGAAATGGGGTCGATAGGGCCAGGGTTCGGGTTCCGGGGGTTCTGGACTGCTGTTGGGGATAGCTGGGCTTATTTGTTGGTTGGGTGCCCCGCAATGCGGGGTTGGTTTTCCAAAGGGAACACCCATTTTGTGGGTTCTATTTTGAGACACGCTAGTGTGCGTGACCTGAAAGGTTGGCCCCCTGTGCCAAATTTCTCCAATTCCTCTGGCTGCACAACTACCGGGGTAGAAGGAGCGAAGACCTATGACGAAGGTCCTTATTTTGGGGAATCCATCAATTGCGATTTATTATTGGAGCAATGTGCCCAGATCATACCACATGTTGTAACTATCTGAAGACCTATGACGGTCCTTTTTTTTTTGGGGGGGGATTCTGTCCATTGCGATTGAAGATTCGAGTAATGTGCCCAGATCATACCATATGGTGCTTGCTTCCGCAGCGCCGGGAAGATAGGCCTTCCCCGCCATGGGACTCGCTGTCCTGGTGCTAGCACTGCTTACATCTGCGGATGCTGACAACATCTGCGAGGACGGGGCTGGTCAACTGATTCTGGATCGGAGTCCCATGAGAATGAACCGGGATCCTTTGAAAGGATCATCTAAGCGTTTTCTTTGCCATATTGCCCAGCCAGTTTGGACGACTGGGCGGAGCCTACCGATTCCGGAACAGATCAAGCGAACAACCATGTCGAAGGTCCATTACTGGGGTTCCGAAAAAAGATATGGGTAACTTTCTCAGAAGAATCTTGAAGTGTTGACTCCCCCCTTTTCGGTTGAAGTTGGTTTATTTCAGTTGAAGTTGGTTTATTTCAGTTGAAGTTGGTTTATTTCAGTTGAAGTTGGTTTATTTCAGTTGAAGTTGGTTTATTTCAGTTGAAGTTGGTTTATTTCAGTTGAAGTTGGTTTATCCTGGAAGCCCTCGTTTTTCTTTTCGGGCGGCCAAAGGAAAAGAATCTTGGAGGACGAGAGGCCTTTGAAGTGCGTGCGGTTCGGCGAGCAGTGCGAAGCGCTGAGCGCTTGCGGGGAGTGGAGCGCTGACTGCAACGACTGCGACCCGAACATCACGGACAGCGACTGGAGAGAGGCGAAATGGGCTCCGAAACCCCCTGCTCCAAATAATTACCCGCGCTTCGGGGGGGAATCATGCCAAAAAAGGAATATTTACTATTGAACACCAGGTTTTTCAAGAAACTCCCTTAAAGAAGAGAGTATGTGGAGTAGGGGGTAGGCGAACCACACACATGCGTTGGTTTTTGTGTGGTAAACAGGAACAAAACCAAGAAGGCTACTATCAAGCGAAGTCATATGCAGAGGGGAAGGTGCATCCCAAGACAACAAATGAAAGGTGGTCGGGCCCGCAGAAAAGCGGTGGCCAGTTGTTCAATGCATAAAACATCTAGGGCATGACCGGGCCATTGGTGTGGTGGTCTTTCGGTCTCACCATCTGAATTTGATTTTTCAAGTTGCTCTGGTTTCCGCTTGTTTCTGTTTTCTTTTTTTGTTTTTCGGTGTCATCTGGAATGGTTTCTCTTGAAGCTTGAAACAAATCGAGCGGCTCCTTCAAGCTGCTTTGCGAATAGAGCATGACGGTCAGGTTTTGGGGTGCCTGGTTTTGGGCGAGCTTTTGGAGTTCGCCGCGACATCCTACGCAAAACCTGCCAACCTTTTGACTGTTCTTGAGATATGCCGAAAAGTGGGGTTTGTCATCAAATTGGGGGGACCCCCATTAAAATGGGTGAATTCCATTTGCTTAAGAGCATGAATCTTTTTCCCTGTACGTGGGCATCGGTCAATTGGACCTTGGACCGCAGGTTTTAGTCCTTGGAAACTCCATCCAGGGCAACCCATTTCGGGTACTATGTTCTTGACCCACACCCACATACCCAAGCGCGCCGCTCCTCGTAAATTGACGAGATATTTTTTCAGTTTTTGAGTGAGGTGGACCACAAATGGATCAAGTTCCTGCGGGGCAACGGTTGCCACACCCTGGACAGCAATTGCCTTGCCACGACCTCTGTGGACCACACGTTGCTCTACGCCAATCAGGCGCGAACCGATGCCGGTGGACTGGACACAGTTGGGCTGCGGAGTCACGCCCGACTTTTCTGGGCTGAGTCCTTCCGACGTTTTCGCACCAGACTTGGAGTACCTGTTCAAGCTTTGGTCGGAGAGAGCCATAATTTTGGTCGCAGTCATTTCGACCCAGACGCGTGGGTTGCAAGCTCCTTTTTAAACTTAAAGGCTTCCCTTCAGGATCATCCACGCAAGGTGTTCTTCCTTTTTCCGGCCTTTAAAGGGGGGAAGCCTCCCCCCTTTGAAGTCTACTAGGTCGACCAAAAGAAGAAGAAGAACAAGAAGAAGAAAAAGAAGAAGAAGGAGGAGAAGAAGAGCCCTTTGCAAGAAAAATCAACGTCGCGAGCGCGTCAGGCCCACTGCGAGGTGCTTGTCAAGGCTGAGGCGGGCTTGGAGTTCACGCGCTTCCACACGGAGGACAACTGGGACGAGGTGGAGTTGGTGTCCCTCACGGACGGCCAGGCGCGCGAACCGCGGCGAAACCGCGAGCCCAAAAACCGCGCGGCCCACACCGCGCGGCCCAAAAAGGTGGGGTTTGGGGGGGCGGGTGAGGGGGGGGTCTCCTAGATGGTTTCGGGGCGGGGGGGGTCTCCTAGATGGTTTTTCGGGTACCTGGACCGAGCCTCACACTGCCCATTCAAAAAGGGAGCTCGCCCCAGAATTTTCAGGGCGAGAAACGATGCTTTAAAGGAATGTTGAGGGTCCAGGTAAGACTTGACAAGATTCACTTTGGTGGACAGTGGGCCAAGCTTCGGGTGCGTGGATGCATGTATCTGGTTCGGTACTCAGGGAACGAGCCCAGGCCACAAAAAGCAATGGCTGGTAGACCAAACGCCTGGCTTCCAACGAGTTCCCGGCTTCCAACGAGTCACTTTTTGCCGGCTTGGACTTGTCAGCGACTTCAGACACGTGTGGACCTTTCTTTCGGCAAATGCCCTCTTAGGCAAGAACAAATCATCGCCTTCCGCCGTGGAGTTTTTTCAGTACAGGCGCTCTTTTGGAAGGGTGATGGTATGAGGTTGCCAATAAGTGGCGCTTTGGATTGTCCCTTTGGGGGTCCAAGTAAAAGTGCTTTTTGACAAAGCCAAGAGTCGTTTACTCATTTGCAAGCCTCGCCTGCTCTAACACTTAGGGGGACACCCCGGACCCCCAATGGGCTGCTTCCCTTTTTGCTTTTTGTTTGGAGGGGCTTTCCTTTAAGTGACCTCTACAGGTCCAGGACATAGCGGGCTTTCCTCAAAAAACAGGAAGGGTTTAGTTTCAAGGTTGAGCCTTAAAGGAATTCATATTGTGTACGAGAAACAACGCCTTCGGGTTGAGAGGTGTTCTGTTTGTATCAGTTGATCTTAGGAAGCCCTACAGAAATGGAAGCCGGGAGGGGGGGGGGGGAATGCCTGGATCGAATTGCGATGGGTGGCGCACAGGTTTGGGCAAATGAAATGCAGTCCTGTGGCGGTTGAACAGGAGGAACTCATGAAGGCCCTTTGGGGAGATAGTAGCAGGTACCCCTGGGAAACCCGCATGTAAAGACAGCTGGAAAGCACGCTTTAAATCAAAGTTGTCAGGCTTTTCTGAATTACAAGAGACCTTTTGGGGAGTTCTCCTATTTCCTGTTTGGGAATTATATCCAATATGGATGAGATGGCAAGGGAGCCAGGGGAAGGTCAATCACTAATAGCTGCCTTTTTCGGCTGCAATGGTTCACTTATTTTGCCGGGGCCCGCTCTGAATCAGATGGGCATGGTCAAAGGAGTGAAAGCTCCATTTTACTTGAGGTAGGGATGGTCATTCAATACCAAAACTTAAGACTCCCCATATATCATATATCTCAGGCTCTTGGATGTGCCAGAGGTGCGGGGGGTGGGGTGGGGTACTCAACCTCCATGATGGCATGGGACAGGTTTCTCAAGATGGTGGACCGTGGAACATGAGTTTGCCCTTTCTGTGTCTACAAATGCAACAGCCTAAAAAAAACGAAAACTAGTCTCAGGGACTCTTGGGCTGGCCAGGGTACCTAGGCTAGGTTTCTTAGGTTTTTTAGGTACCTCGTTAGTTTCAAAGGAAAACCACACGGACCACCTCAATTTCCGGCTCCTCGGGTAAAAACCGAGAACCACCCAGCTGGACGCGTTCACGCAAAAAAGAGCCCAGGTGCTGTGGACGGGCTCTGGGCGCCTGGGCGCCTTCGCTTTGCCCGTGGTTCTGGAGACCACCACAGCCTTCATGTGGCCAGACTCTGCTGGTTAGCCTTCCTTCAACAAACGTGGTGCCTGTGGGAAGGTACCTGGAAGATCAGTTTCCTCTTAAGGGACCTTCTGTGAGGTGCTACGTTAGTGGAAGGGAAGGTAGTGTGGCCAGACGCTCACAACCAATGGTACCATATTGGTTGGTGGGCGAATTCACCACCCATTTTAGAACATTTTAGTGGTTGGATTGAATCGGATGTTCACTGGGGGTACGGGCTTGTCTTCACAGAGCACCTAAAAGAAACCTGAGATACGAGCAAACAGTGGGCAGCATATACCACCTAAAAGAACCCGGGCTTCCACTTACCTTCATAGTTAGTGGGTAACCAGGAGACACCATCCATGGCAAAGTTGGAATGACCCCGAACTGAACTCATGGACCCTCGGTGGGGGCTGCGGATAGTAATAGGGTGGCCCCCTAAAACTCCATGATGAACCATCCAACTAGTATTTGCCGGAACCACACCCCCACCCCTCCCCCCCCACCATTCGACCCCCAGCCATTTCCTGTTTTTTTCTCCTCACCTTCCGGGCGAAGAGGTGGAAGACGGACGCCACCACGCAGAGCAAAGGGTGGAAGGCCTGCAGCGGTTGTCCCGACGCCGCCCAGGACCGGCGGGGGACAGAACCGATTCGGCTGTGGGTGAAAAACCAAAATGGGATCCCATTTTGGGGTAGGTGCACCACCATTTTTACAACCTATTTTAGTGGGGATTAAGATGTTCACTGGGGATACGGGATTTTGACCAATGGCCATTTTTCAGATTCGTTGTCGGGGGCTAGACGAAATTCTGCGCATGGTTGCAAACTCCATTTCTCGCAGCACGAAATGAAACATGGTTGAAGCCACAACGTTTCTTGATATTTCCAGGGGAGTCATCTTTAAAATTTGGGTTCCATTAAAGACGACACCAAACACATATAAAACCCCATACCGTTCGAAAGGCCTGACCCCTCCAATGCAAGCCCGGTCCCTCCAATCTAGGGGCCCCTTGAAAACAACCCATGGCCCAAAGACCATCGAACTCGCGCTGGCGGAGATCCGCCGGTTGAGCTCTTGAAGCATGGTTCTGGGGATCGACCGGGCTTTGATGATGACTCATGTGACGTTTGCACCTTGGGCCAAGTTTGGGGCTAGGTTCTCAGCTTTTGGGAAATATGGGGGGGACGGAGGCCTGGTATGAGGTGTGCGCTTGGGTTAGGTTAGGTGCTGGTCTGTTGTTTTTCTTCCGGTTTTTAAATGGTGTGTGTGTGTGTTTGTACATACCCTCTTTCACATATTTCTTGGGTAAACCCCAGGCTCGCTGCTCGCTCGCAATTCTTCGTCTTAGGTTTGTTGGGACCAACCCCTTCAGTGGGTTGGTGACCGCCAAGGGGCATGCGATGTTGACCCATTGATCGGGAAGTGAATCCAACCCTTTTGGTGGTTGGATTCAGACCACTTTTGGAGGGGTCCCCACCCACCAAAAATCCGCACCGCCGAACTCAGAAACCGTGGGTTCTGATTCGATTCCCCGGTAAATACCAATATACGTTATGGTTTCAACCATGGTTTCCAAGTGGTGCAAAATGGATTTCGCAACCATCCACAGTATGTCCATCCACAGACCATTTTAGTGGTAAATATAAAGTTTGGACTGTTTTGGGCGTTTTCCATTTCACCGGCGCTCAGGACACCCCCGATGGCCAGTGCCAATGCGTGGTGGCGAAGGGATTGGAGACGTCCTGCGTGGATTACAACTATACGCTGAGGTGTGGTTTGGGCCGACCCCCCAAAAGGAAGAAGGGGTCTGTTGCCACTACTTTTTGTTGGCATACCTATAGTTCATATCTGAGCTATATGGTCAGGCCCCACCCCCATGAACAACCTTTCCTTCTTTCTTCAAAAAATGACTGCAAAAACACAGTGTGTTCCATAGTTTTTAGCTCTCTCGATCATAAAACCGACAAAACGGATTCCGTTTTGATATGCCTTCTTGCAGACATAGTTCAAAATATGAAAAATGAAAACTAACAAACCACCTTTGTGTATACGTGTTTTTTATTCTTCTTTTTTCAGAAGCAACACTCTGAGTGGTGAAATCAAACTCCTTCTTTAAAGCATTTTTGAGTAATTTCCATTTTGTGAACATTATATTTTTACAACTCGAGGAAACCCAAAATGCAAAAAGCCTCGGTAAAACCAAAAAACACAATTCTGAGGAGAATCTTGGGTTTGACTCAAATTTTGGTTTTTGTGGTTTTCTCGTTTTTTTGGTTGCCCTGAAGTTGTTCGTTAAAAAAAAATCAAAAAAAAATCAGAAAACCCAAAGAAAACCCAAAGAAAACTCAAAGAAAACCCAAGGCTGTTTTGGTTTTCCACGTGGGTGGGCCCAGAAAACAAACCAAAACAAGCTTTTTGGTGTTCCAAGTGGATTGGTTTAGAAAACCTAACAAGCCTTGAGTTGTTTTTTTTCCGAAAAAGAAATAATAATAATAATAGCTCGAGGAAACCAACCAACACAAAAACACCTCGAGAAAACCCCAAAATTCAAAAATAGCCAAACCCAAGATTCTCCTCAGAATTGTTTTTTTGGTTTTCTCGAGGTTTTTGCTTTTGGGTTTTCTCGAGGTTTTTTGGTTTTTAGTTGCCAAAAAAGCCTTGGTTTTTGGTTTTTCGATAAAAACAAACAACTCGAGGAACACCAACAAAAGAAATACCTCGAGAAAACCAAAAAACAAAGAATTGAGCCAAACCCAAGATTATCCTCCGAATATGGAAAGGACATCATACTTAAAATCTAAATCAACATAGACATTCAAATTCAATTGTGTCCTTCTTCAGTTCTATCAGACTTCTAATTACATATTTATTCAAGTCTCATTAAACATGAGTCACATTTGATATGTAACTAGCATAGTACATCATATTTGAATCATTCCCTTGTTAAGCTCTTTTCATGGAAAGGATGCCTTTTTTAGATTCTAATTGAAGATAGAACGTACAATGGAACTCTTTCTTTATTGAGCTCTATGTCTATTCTACTAGTTAATATTGATTAATGTTGAAAGGAATTTCCTTTTACATTATCATCAAAAATGGAAAATGTAATCCAATTGTTTGCTGTTTACAGTCCATTTTAACTCTAGTTAAACTTCAATCATAATCCAATTTGGCATCAGGAGCCTGATAAGGACCCTTGAAGGAAGCTTATAAGGAGCTTTACCAGGAACTGTCTCAGGAGCCTTACAAGCAGCTTTTCAAGAAGTATAAGGAGCTTTATAAGGAGCTTTAAAAGGAGGAGCCTTATAAGGATCCTTATAAGCAGCTTTTCAAGGAGCATTATAAGGAGCTTTACAAGCATCTTTACAAGGAATTGAGCCTTATAAGGAGCCTTGAAGAAAGCTTCACAGGGAGTCGCGTAAGGAGGTTTATAGGGAGCTGTTTATGAGCTTTATGAGGAGCTCTATAAGAAGAGCTTAACAAGTGCTCCTTGAGCTCACTTGGGGACACTTCGCCAGACACAAGAGCTGCCATGATGATTGCCTGTATGTATCCAAATTGAGTGAATCTTTCTTCAGATAAGCAGAATAGTTGCCCTTCAGACAAGTAGCATTATTGACCTTGAGACATTGCAACAGCACCCAAAAGGTAGTTCATGGGGGGGGCCTGACCATATACATATATATATATATATAATCTGCATTTGCATGTGTTTTGTTGGGTTCGTTTAAACATCACCTTTTGGCTGTCCATTTTTCAAAAAGGCGATGTAAGACGAAACTTGTCGACTGGTTTCCGATTGTTCTCAGAGAAGCCTCCGATTTTTGCGCTTGGGCACCTATTTTGAAGGGCAGGTTCCCGGAAGATAGAGCTAGACTTGAGCCATTGAAATTCGGGTCCCAAGTGCCCAGTGGCCCTTTGATCAGCAGTTTGTTGCCAACTCAACCAACCAAAGAAGGACGCCCAATATTTTTTCCCATAACCACTGGGCATCTGGGTAGATGAAGGACAATGTAAGCAGTCGCCGGAACATCTGCATTCCTTTGATTCTTGAGAAACCTTTCCCTTTCCTGGTGGGTCTCGAAAAAATGACCGAGCCATGCGACCAAAATCCGCCCGCCGGAGAATCCCACATGGTGACGAATCTGTCGGATCGGTCGGTGCGGCAGGCTGGCGGGGCTCGACTTCCCGTGGCTGACGAATTGCTCCACCTTTGATCCCAAGTGCCGGACATGGGGTCCGAAGATCTCTCAGGTTTGGTGGCGGGTTTTGATGGAAGGGTACCGGGTTTCCTTCCATTTGGCGCCATACGGTGGATGGAAGAAATCTTGCATCTCTTTTGAAACAGATCCATGCCATCTCGTTACGACTTGCCCCGCGCCCCCTACTTAACATTGGTGCTCAGTTTGGCCAAGTTGGGTTGGGTCATGCAAGATTTAGGCCATTAACAACCTATGAGCGGTTTTGCTCGCCGCAACTCAATGTTAAGTAGGGGGCGCGGGGTGGCAAACATGTAGTCTTGTAAACTCATGCAAGATTTCTTCCATCAACAGTATGGAAGCTTTGGGGAGACCATCCAGACCACAAATCCAAACCGCCAACCTTGGCCCATCCGGATCACCTTTGATTTCGAGATCCAAATTCGGCTTGCCGCGTCTCGTGCCAGGGGAACCCGCGCGGTCAGGGGAACGACCAAACCATGTTTCTAACTTCCCATTTTTTCCAGGCACCCGGTTAAACCGCAGAACGTCAAACAAACCCAGGTTAAACAGGCGGGTGTTTGATAAGGATGTTTGAAAGGAACGGTTGGAAGCATCTGATATCGCAGCAAGCCTGTGCAGGACTTGCAGATGCCTGTCCACGACGGGAAAAAACAAGTTGCAAGTCCGAATCTTGAATGCTAGTTGGTTAGATCTTTCTTTTGTTTCACCTTTCAATTCTTTCACTTGCTTTGGGTAGATATTCCATTTCTTAAACTTTGTTTGGTCACATCTTTCATTTCTTGCACTGTTTTTGGTCAGTTCGTTGTTTTCTTTAACTTTGTTGCAGAGATTCATTTCGATAGCTTTCCTTGGTCAGATCTTTCGTTTCTTCAGCTGTTTTTTGGTTACTTTCTTTCACCGCTTTTGGCCAGATTTTTCATTTCTCCATCTTCCTTTTGGCTACATGTTTTTTCATGTTTTTAACTTGTTTGGGTTAGATGATGTATGGTGTCAACTGCTTTTGGTTAGATCATCCTTGTTTGTTGATTGTTTTGGCAAGATCTTTCAATTCAGTGGTGATTTTGGTTAGATCATCATCGTTAACCTCTTTAACTTGGTTGGTTAGAGACAGATTTCTTCTTCGTTTTGGTTAGATCTTGCGCGCACCATGTTTGCTAGGTTCTTCATCTCTTAACTTGTTGGTTGGACACATACGAGTTTTCTCAAGACGGTTTGTCCTCCCAAACAAACCTGCAACTTGGAGTGTCTGACCCCTTGGGCTTGATTTTGCGCCCAAGGAAACCGGTCCATGATCGTTAGGGGGTTCCATGATTGTTGTGAGAGTAAACCAATGGGTTAATACTGTGGATGGACGAAATCCTGCACCATCCAAGAAACCCTGGAATGATGAGTCCCCTGTAAATACCAATAAGCAATGGTTTCCCATGGTTTCCAAGTGGTGCAGGATTTCGTCCATCCACAGTATCACCACCATTGTTTCCCTAAGGATCTGCCATCGTCTCAATTGGCTTTTCCCTTGCTTTCTTTTATTGGTCTCGGTTTTTTACCCCGGCAACAAGGACTGATCATCCGAGGGATGTTCCAGTGGATGAGTCACCTAGTGCTGTGGGTGGCTGTGGCGGCGCCATTGCCCGTGGCTCTGTACCGCGGCCGACTTCTTTGTGTGAAAGATTGGACCCCACAATGGCTTCGGTTCTCCTTTTGGTTCTCCTGTAACACTACACAAAAAAGACGCGGTACCCTCAAACAATGACAAGCACATGGTTGGTTTTCTCCAATCAGTTTTTCACCTTTTACATGGTTGGAAGATTCTAAGGACCTTTTCGGTGGGTGGGGTCTTCGGTTTCCTAGTCACTTTCTGCCAGAGGGAACACACCCTTCCCCTTTCAAAGGCAGCGAATGTTTGTAGGTGTTCGGGGAAATGAGGCAGTACGTTACACTATCTCAGAGTAGACCATTTGAACGATGCAACGGGAGGGAAAACACCGAGCAGAAGCGTTTGGTCCGTCTCGGCAGCCTGTCTTGGTTTCTTCATGTTCTTTTTCAATCAGTCAAACATACCTTGTTGCGTGCCAAAAAATAAAAGCTGGCCCAGGTACCTCATCATCACATGTCTGCTGGCTGCTTCCGACCTCTGCAACGTGGACAGGGACAGTTGCCGAGAGGCAGTTCTGCGGTGGACGGCGTGGACAAGCCATGTCTCTTGACTGCTATTGGGCAACGGATCTTTAGACTGCAACTTTTTAGGACATAAAGATGTGTTCCACTAAAGACTGTAAAAACAAATGCAGGAAACAACGGTGTTTTCCACTCAAGACTGTAAAAAAAATCCAGGAAACACCGGTGTTTTCCACTCAAGACTGTAACAAAAATCCGGGAAACACCGGTGTTTTCCACTCAAGACTGTAACAAAACTCCGGGAAACACCGGTGTTTTCCACTAAAGGCTGTAAAACAATCCAGGAAACAACGGTGTTTTCCACTCCCCCCCCCTAAAAAACAAGGTTGAGAGCTTGTTGCCGGGGGGGTCGTTGCAGCCACCGAGGTCTTGCGGAACGGCTGCTGCCGCGGTCAAGACCCTTGCGGCCGCATCAGTGGCTTTTGGTACCTGGCCTGCGTCCAGCGCCGCGCTTGCAACCGAAGCAGCCCCTTTTTTTCTCATATTTGTGGTGTCCTTTTTTTTTTTCTTAAGAGCATGTTTTTTCCCCCCTGGTCCCTGTTGGTTTTAAGGGGAATCTATCACACTTGGCCGCATTTGGGCATCGTTTTTGTTGGTTGGGGAATCCTTCCCCCTAGGCATGGGTTGCGCCCTTGCCTGGTTTGGGCTTGTGCGCCCAGTTTCCCCAGTGAGTGAGGTGCTTCTGGGTGTGGTTCCAGTTCAAGCTCTGGACGGAACCGCAGCACGGGGTGACCGGCCTGGATCTGCTGGCGCCCATGATCTTGTGGCTCTTCTTCTGTCTGAGTTCGGGCATGATCTGGTACTGGCGCCTCGGTTAGCCATATGGATGTTTTCCACATGACAAAGAAACCTTGGACCACTTGAAATGGATAGATACCCTGTGAAGAGTGGTTGACAAACCAACCAACTGGTGGCGTTTTGTGAAGTTTGTCCATCCACATCACCCCACCAAGAAACCAACCTTAAACTGGCTCAAAAGGTGAAGCTTCACTTGGCGGTTCCGGGATTTGTGACATCGGGATGTCTTAGAATTTGGGTTCCTTTTGGTTTTCCTTTGAACCACCAAAGAGGATACCCTCCAAAACACACACACACACACCCACACGTTCCACCAACAGTTTCGCTTGCAAGTTTCCATTTGCGTAAGAAATATGCATGTGTATATATATATATATACACATTTGTATATATATATATATATATATACACATTTGTATATATATATATGTGTTTGTTTCCCATTTTTTTTGAGAGGGGTGTCAAGTCAGAAGGCAAAAGCCACATAATGCGAGTGCCCTTTCACAGTTAAAGAGAATGACTCAATGGACACATATTCTCATCTTTTGCCAGAAAAAGTTGCCGGTGCGATAGGTAGGGAATGGCATGAACGCAGGGGAAGAACTGAGGCACAAGTTGGCCCTGAAAAACGCCAGCGAGGCCTCGGCGTGATGCTCCCGACTGCGCCTGTTTGGACGTGTGAAGAACCCTGTTTAAGAAGCCTCCGCTTGGATCTTATGATTTAAACCCAACATTTTGCAACATTGCACCTTTTTTTGTCAGTCTGTCTGTTGAAATAGGGACTCCCCTCCACAAAGAAAAGCAGAAGAAGAATAAGGAGAAGAAGAAGAAGGAGGAGGAGGAGAAGAAGAAGAAGAAACGCCCTAAGGCAACACCCCCCCTTTTCCCCTTTTTCTTCCATTTGCTGAAATGAGCATGCTTGGATTTTCCCTTGTTGGTTTTATCGGGAAGCTATCACTGGACATACTTTTTCCTGGGACCTAATTGCACGACCTGGACATCTCTTAAACTGCTGGACCCACAAAAAAGAAGAAGAAAAGATGCCGGTCACACTGGGGCCCATGGCTTGTTACCCTCAAAGTCACCCAAGTGGTACGTGAAAGGGACGGACCAAAAGCACGAAGGACAAATTGGAACCCGCCGCTTGAAGTTGCTTGCATCCCGCACGGGACCTCTGCAAGGCTTTGGACTTCCAAAAGGCCCTTTCGAGGGGGAAAGTTGATGGCACAATTCCCGTGGGTAAGACTAAAGCGGCGAAACTGCGACATGTGAAAAAAGAAAACATGAAGTGGTTTGGGGCAGCTTTTCTCCCTGTGGTTTCTTTTATTGGTCATCTTTTAGTACTCCTTAGATATTCTACAGGGGTTTGCCTCCAACCTTTAACTCGTTGTCGAGAAAGATGGATGTGCCTTGATCGCGCCCGTTTGAGGGTCCAAGGGATCACCGGATCGCCAGGAGCAAGACATGGAGACCTGGGTGGGCGGCTGCCGCTGCTTCGTTTGCTGCTGTTGCATGGTTGTTGTTGGGACACATTTTGCATTTTTGCTTAGTGTGGTTTAGTGGTTGAAATCCACCCACTTAACTGCTAAGATTTAAATTTTTGCTCCCCTTCCCACGTCAACCAAGGTTGCTTCTGCAACCCCCTGGGCTGTTGCTTCCCCATGGAGGCCCAGTGGGGTCTTGTGAGAGAGTGGGCGGGGGAACAAATGAACCAAGAAAGAGCTCGATGTTCCACGCGCTCGTTCTTGGCATGTGTGTGTGTGTGTGTGCTTCGTTGTTGCGTTTTCGTTGTGCTCTCTTCTTTCTCCGTGGCTGCGAACAGGTTTCATTTTGTTGCGCATGTGCCAAGGAGTGGACAGCTACTTCCCCTTGTTTTCATGGTTTGATATGTAAGATGGGGTTTTCCTTTTGGTGGAGTTGTGTTTTAAGGGGAAGTATGGAAAACCCAGAACTCGTGTTCTTCCCCCGGTGGCCACCAAGCTCTCTCTTTGGTAGGCTTTGCGGTGCTCCATTTGTGGACAGCAAAAAGGGGAGGGTTGGTCTCAAAATGAGGAGACCCCTAAAATGGCAACGGCTTCCCGTTGGTTTCCCTCTCAAACCAAGCACTTTTGGGGTACCCAAAGAAGACACATTTGAAGGTACCCCTTTTGTAGGTTTGAAGCGAGCCAAAAGGACCACCTAAATCCCCCCATGTTGGGGGTCACAATCTTGGTTTGACACACGGGGGTTGATCAAAAGGTCCTTCACATGGGATGCCAAAGCTATCAAAAAGGTGATATTTCAACCACGAAATGGGAAAAGCTACCCCTGGTCAAAACTGGGGGCCCTGAATGGAGTATTGATCAACCCCCACATAGTACCCAGATGCTCGCAACGGCAACGCCGCGGTAGGTGACGGATGCCCATTCCGCCCCTCCTACTCTGGACGCGGAAAAAGGACAAAGTCCTGGGCAGCAGAGCGCGGTTCCCAGCACGGTTCAACTTTTTGATTGGAGTTGAGACCCCGGGATTCAGTTCCCACCATGTAAACAATGGTTGGGTTTATATTGTGAAGCCACCATTGGGTCAGCAACCATTGGTTTAACCACCATTGTCCGGCTTAGAATTTGCCATGTGAGACTGTTCAATCCACTATGAAACAGTGGTTGGGTCAAGATAACCACCATTCTTTACCTAAAAGGAGCAACTCATCATATAAATTGCCCCCCCCCCCCCAAAGAAGCTAGAGATCTTTCGTGTTCCCAGTCCCAGCATGCGATTTTCCGTTTTGCCGGGGAAGGGTGTCCCTTTCAAATCAAGCACAGAAAGGCTGCTGGGAATTCCCCTTCCAAATACCCTCCCGTCAATGGAACCTGACAGGGGGTCCCTTCAAAAGGATATTTTTTCTTCCAGGATCCCCTGTCAGGTTCCATGTTAATTGGTTGGAGGGCACCTGTTTTTGTTTCAGGCATGCTTCCCTTCTTTGAATGGGGGGGACCGAAATTGAGGTTTCTTGGTTTTCCCATTGGTTTCCATCAAAAGCCGAGCCATGTTGCACATTCCAATGTGAGCAACAAAAGCACACCAGTGCCATTTTTGTTTTCCCATTCGTTTTCAAACATGTTACCTGTAATAAAGACGATCCCCCCTTACCCAGTTGCCCAGTGGGATTCCGCCCGTTTTTCTTTTTTTTGGGAAGGGTTCCCCTTTAAACTCCACCAACCAATAAAATATCGGATGCCGATTCCTTTTTTCCCACGAACATCCACTGGGCATCTGTGCTTACGTGGCTGTGGGTCAAAAATAGATTCAGATGGAACCCTGGATGGACTAAAATCTGCGGTTTTCTGGTGTCATTTTGGCCCACACCCTTATTTGTGCCAAAGGTGTTCGATTTCGTTGTTCTTTTTCTTCATTTTTTCCGCATCTGTGAGGCATGGAGAGCCCGGAAGGGACAGACTCTATGCTCACCATCGGCAAGTCCCAGATCGGGCAGCTGTTCAAGGGCCACCCGTCTGCCAGACCCTGAAAGGCAGAAATGGTATAGGTCGGTCCATATGTGAACCCATAGGAATCCATTTTTTACACCCCAGAATAAGGGGGGGCTGATGTCCTATAATTAAGCCATAACTATGGCAATTCATATATGAACCTGCGAAAATCCATTTTACACCCGGGAGGGCTGATTTGGGCTGATTTCCCAGAATTGAGCCATAACTAACGGTGAATCAAGCCATAAACTAGGGGTTCATACCAGGTGTTTTTTTTTCATTTGCATTCAGCCTTTCACGCGTTTCAACTCCGTCCTTTTTTGGGAGTATTTTCCCAACAGCGATCAGCTCCTGGGTTTCTATCTCTGGGTATCTCCGGCTTGGAGCCGGGAAGTACCCGGTTCGGAACCGGAAGCCTGGAACCAGATAGTTGGAACCCGGTGGTTGCAGTTGGATAGGTTCAGGGTTCTACTTTTTGGCTACCCCAGGGTAGACTTAAACCCAGTGGTTCCTTGCCCCCAAAAGTTCAACCCCTCATTTCAAGTCTATGGGGTACTCAGAAAGTAGAACCCTGCCAGAATTCTTTTCAGGCAACCCTCGCAGCAAACTCTGGGTCCACCTTTGTGCCTTTTGGTCTTCCTGTGAAATTTGGCCTCTGAGTCAAGGTCCCAAAAGGAGAACCTTTATTTCTAGGTTTGTAAGGCGCAGGTGAGAACCCATCGGTGGTTTGGATTGGTTGGATCTGAGCCTTTGGTTCTCCCAACCACTTGCAGAGAAGCTGCGTATTCGTTCTTCCTCTTTGGAGCTTCCGAGTTTGCTGGGTCTATTTGCAGTGGTTGCATGTTGAGGATTCTCAAGATTGCTTTTGGTGAATGTTCCCCTTTCAACGACCACTTGGAGGGTCAATTTGAGCTCTTCTTACAAAGAAGGCCCCAGCTTTCCCGCCAACAAAAACGGGGTCCGAGCTTCCGCGGCTTCCCGGAAAATCCATTCCCAAGTTGATTTCATGGCTGCGGGTGAAACTTTTTTTTGGAGGCCACCCCTTGTTCCCAAGGTCGAAACAAACTGGGCTGTTGAAAATGGAGCTCAGTTGTTCAGTGGCACCCTTTTTCTTTTCCCTTTTTTTTGGTGGCTGCCCCACAAAAAAGGGTCCAAGCCCCAAAAAGGGTTCCCTTTTTTTCCAGGGTCACTGAACAACTGAGGGAGGCCAAGCGCCAATCCCAGCGAACGGAGCAGCGAGGCCTCTTCTCGGAGGAGGACAAGCAGAAGCACTCCGAACGGTTCGAGCGCCTGGCGCACGTGAGCGAGGAAGTGGACGCGGACTCGCCCTACTTGATGATATGGCGACTGAGCATCTTCCATTTGGTGAAATGTGTTTTTTCAAGGGAATCTATCACTGCTTTTTGTTTAATCACTACTTGATTTGGGGTGGCTTGAACAAAATCCACCTCCGGGGGTTTCATGGGACATACCTTTGGTGCATTTTGCCAAGGGATGTTATGACTTGAGAACTTTGTTTGCCACATTGGTTGGGTTGTCCCTCAAGATTAAACCACTAAAAGTTAGAAACTTGTAGCAGGGGACGGGGAGCAGAAAGCAACTGATTGCTTGTTCTTGGTATTTGAGAGCACGCTGCTGTATTTTTGTTCTGTCGGTGCAAGTGAAACAGCGCACCTTCCATGCGCCGCCCTCGTTGCCGCAGGATCCAACATGCCCACAAACTAACACTCGTTCAAGGGATCCCGCTGGGCGGCGAATGCAGCATTTGCTTAAGAATATTTCTTAGTGTTCCCCTGTTGGTGTTGAATGGACTCTATCACCACTGGAATATGTCTTTTCCACGGGGCGTAAGCAAATGGTTGGATGGCAATGTTGACCCCGGATGAAACATGGAGAGTCGGGGGCCCCTCCAAAGGTGAAGCCCCACTGAAAGGGGGGACGCCCCGATCAAAATCAAGGCGTTAGGGCAAACTTACATGACCAGCCGGGTGCGTGCAAAAGGGGGGGAACCACCTCTGGTCCTCCGGACAAATCCGAAGTTAGCACTAGGTGTGTAGTTGTTTGGAGTTGATACCCTTTGCAGCTGGGCTTACAGAAAAGGCGCAAAGGGAAGCCAGGGTCCCCGCTGTGTTGACACATACCCAAACCGGGTGCTACGGATTTTTGCTTTTGGAGTGAGCCCAAACATGGCATATGACTGAAGTCAAGGCTGGTTCCCACGACCTGCAGCTGATGTTTCTTGATTTCGCAGCTTTCTCCGCCCTGTTCTTGTTTTTGAGGTCAGCTTCAAGCCGCGATAAGCACGCTTCTCCTTGATTTCTCCGCCCGGATTGTTGGTTGCGGATCAGGTGCTTGGCTTGCTTTGGGGTGAGTAGGCTGCATTGAAAGTTACCCTTCCTCCCACTAACATGGCACCTGACAGGGGGTCCCCTACAAGAGGAGATTGATCTTCCAGGTACCCTCCCACAGGTGCTATGTTAGTGGGAGGGAGGGTAGGTCATTTTCAGCATTACCGAAGCCATTTAGGTGCTCTCAAGCAAGCATCCTCCGGATGTTTCTTTCAAGGTCTCCCGGTCGTTCCCGAAACCCGGAAGTTGACTCCCTATCGAACTAGCAAGTCAAGCCGTTCGTTTGAACTGACTTTGGCTTGACAGCATTTGACCCAACCCAACCAGCAGTTAACACGACCTCAAAAGCCTACAAATAAAGACACCCCCATCAAAACCCCATTAACAAGACCACCCCTTCAAAACAACAGCCTCAAAAGAAGCCACACAGCCCCATTTTCGGCCACTTTTCTTTTTCAAAGGAAGCTGTTTGAAGGCGCCCTCAGCTCAACTGGAGGCTCTGGCGAATCTTTTTGGGCGGCTCGCCGGTGCACTTCAAAGGAAGGGCTTGACCAAAAAGTCGCCGGCTGTCGCCAGGCGGTTCTCTTCTTTGTAGCTACTGTTCTAAGGTTTGATTCGCCATTCTCCTCACCCATCGTTCTCTTTAGAAACCGCCATTATTTTTTCCAGGGACTTGGCTCATTGTTTGAAGAGAAGGATCCCTGAAGAGAATGGGGAGGGTACTACTAGAACTGTGGATGGTTGCAGAAATCACACCACGAAATGAGCTGCCATGGTTCTGATGGTTTTGCGGAAAGATTCGAATCCCTGGAAAGAATGGAATTGGGAAGGTGGCCCTAGAGTGATGTGTGCGTGTTTTCCCCAAAATGCCTTACCCCCAGTGAACATCCGATTCAATCCAACCACTAAAATAGGTTCTAAAATGGTGGTGAATTCACCTACCAACCAAAATGGGATCCCGAAACGGTTTTGACAACCACAGCCAGGTAGATTTTCGCACGCCTTCAACATCAAACACGGCTTAGCGTGAAACCAGTTATGTCCTGAAAATAATCTCTGATGTGAACTTCGGCTTCCCTTGGTTTTGACAACCACAGCCACGTTTTTTTTTCTTCTTTTTTTTTTTTCGTTTTTTTTTCCTCATTTTTCCGGAGAAACGTCTGGCCCCTGGAAGGAAGCCTCGTCTTGGTGGCTCTGCACCTCACCTTCTGGGCCCTTGTGCTTGCGGCAACCAGCTGGGCCTACGAGACACTCGGGATGAACAAATTTCGATGGCATGACAAAACTAGGTTGTTCAGCTAGGTGCCGACTTTCACCGTTTCTTCTTTTTGGAGGGTTCCCCCTCACGAAAATAGACTACAGAAAAAAGACAGCAAAAAACACGGTACCCTTGTTCTAACCTCTCCACTGGAAAGACTCCGAGAGGGGTCTGTCTTGTTTTGGAGTCAGTCCCTTCTTGGGGTCACTGGATTCCCTTGTCATGGTTCCCCTTGTTCTCCCCGTGCGATTTGGAATCCACAGAGAGACCGACTGTTCAGCGGCTCCCGGGTCCGCGCGGCTTGGTTTGCGGGGCCGGGGCCGTTCGAGGTTCGGGTTCCGTGAGGGAGGGACGAAGAGACGGATGGAAGGTATGAGTGACTCGGTCCCCCAGAAATGTGCCCTTCTCTCCCCTTTTTTTGGTTGGGAGGGTTTCCCTACTAAGATAGACTACAGAAAAAAGGGGCACCCTTATTCTAACCTCTCTACTGGAGGACCTAGGTGATAGAAGATAGAAGATGGGATAGCGAGCGGGCGTAACAATGCAGTGATGGAGGATGACAAGGAAATCGCATCCCAAAGACAACAGAAAATCAGGAATTGAAAGGTGCGATCCAACTATTCCTCTCAGTCACATCATGTTAGCTCAATCATGTCTTGCAACCACAAGAAGCTCAAAGAAGGGGAACACCATTAATGTGATTGGATTTCCAGAGACATAAGTACGACGAAAGACATTATTTGTGGAATCTATATTTTGAGAACAGTTCCATTTTCATATCTCTTTTCTGTACCAGCTGTAGCTCTAGGAGTTACCGCACCCTTTCAATGGCCTGAAGTTGCTACGTGCCGGGAATTCTTGCGAAGTTCTCTCACTGCCGTCCAGCCTTTGGGGACGGGACCAAGGGGGGGGTGTTGCTTTTTGTGGGGGTTGGGGGATGGATCCCCTTGGATTTTGCCCTAGTTTTTGTTTGGTTGAAGCCCGTGCAGCCTAGGGAGCATCAGTGGCTAGTGGTGAAGACATCAGGGGCTTGAAGGGTGGCTGGGCAAGTAAGGAACACTTTCTACAGCCGCGCTCGCACCATGGAGGCTGGAACTCGCCGAGCTTTAAGCTTTCACAGGGAACCCAAGTCAGAGCTCGCAGGCCCACTTCTCCAGACAAAAACTGGATCCTCCCACTTTCAGAACACACCTTTAGCTCGGATAAACCGAGCTCCAGCGGTGGTACTTCTCACTTGCGCGCCCGGCATCAGTGCCTCATGGCCATGTTAGCTGGTTTAGGCGGTTCTACCTGGGATCATTGGCTCAGTTGTTCAGTGGCACCAGTTCTTTGTCCCTTTCTTTTGGTGGCTGCCCCACTAAAAAGGGTCCAAGCCCCAAGAAGGGTTCCCTTTTTTCCCAGGGTCACTGAACAACTGCCTGGCATCATTGGGTTTTTGGGTTTTGCAGCGCCGGACTGGCGCCGTCCAAAGGGCGTGTTTTCATCACAGACGATGGGCGACGGTCAATGTTTACTGTTCTCACGCGTGCTCTTCAGCGGCTGTGCGGAGTATTTGGCAGGCGTGTGCGCGCAGTGCTGAGCGAGTGCTCTTGAGCAAGCGTGCCCCAGGAGTTTCAGCAGAAAGCAAGAAAACACCAGTCCGGTACCTGATAGTAAGGCCGATTTGATCAGTTTTTAGTAGAGGCGGCGAAGCCGGTGGGCGGAAGTTTCCAAAATGGAAGAACAGTAGTTGTCTTTCTGTTTCTCTTCTTGCTTCATGTTCTCTTCTTCTTCCTTTCCGTTTTCTATTTTCATGGTTTCTTTTCTTTCCATCTCTCCTTCTGTCTTTCTGTTGTTTTTTTTCTTCCTTCTTGCTTTGTTTTTTCCCTTCTTTCCTTCCCTTCCTTCCCTTTCTTCCCTTCCTTCCCTTCCTTCCCTTCCTTCCCCTCCTTCTCTCCTGTCCTTCTTTCCTTCTGTTTTTCTTTCTCTCTTTCTATCTATCTTTCTTTCTTTATGTCTTCCTTTCTTTCTTTCCTTCTTTTCTTTCTTTCCTTCCTTCTTCCTTCCTTCTTCCTTCCCTCTTCCTTCCCTTCCTTCCCTTCTTTCCCCTCCTTCTCTCCTTTCCTTATTTCTTTCTTTCTTTGCTTCCTTTGTTTTTTCCTTCCTTTCTCCTTCCTTTCTCCTTCCTTCCTTCTTCTTCCTTCCTTCTTCCTTCCCTCTTCCTTCCCTTCCCTTCCCTTCATTCCCTTCCTTCCCTTCCTTCCCTTCCTTTCCTTCCCTTCCTTCCCTTCCTTCCCTTCATTCCCTTCCTTCCCTTCCTTCCTTTCCTTCCTTTCCTTCCCTTTCTTCCATTCCTTCCTTTCCTTCCCTTCCTTCCCTTCCTTCCCCTCCTTCTCCGCCTTCCCTCCTTTCCTTTCTTCTTTTCTTTCTTTCCGTCCTTTCTTCCTTCTTTCTTTCTTTGTGTCTTTCTTGCTTTCTATCTACCTACCTACCTACCTATCTAGTCTATTAATTTATCTATCTATCTATCTAAATCCATCCATCCATCCATCCATCCATCTATCTATCTATCTATCTGTCTATCTATCGATCTATCTATCTATCTATCTATCTATCTATCTATCTAAATCCATCCATCCATCCATCCATCCATCCATCCATCCATCCATCCATCCATCCATCCATCCATCCATCCATCTATCTATCTATCTATTTATCTATCTAAATCCATCCATCCATCCATCCATCCATCCATCCATCCATCCATCCATCCATCCATCCATCCATCCATCCATCCATCCATCCATCCATCCATCCATCCATCCATCCATCCATCCATCCATCCATCCATCCATCCATCCATCCATCTCTCTGTCTATCTATCTATCTATCTATCTATCTACCTATCTACCTATCTATCTATTTGTCCATCTATCTATCCATCTATCCATTCATTTCGCCATCCATCATCTACATATCTACTTGCCACGAAATCTCTACTTCACCTTTGCGAAAGTGCCGCTGCCACGACCTCCCTCTCCCATGGGCCCGGGTCCGCGCCCATGGGCCCGGGTCAGGCGTCGCGGCAGGCAGCTTTCAGCCGGTTGGAGACGCCAAAATTTCGGAAAACACGCGGAGGGCCACACGTTGTCACGTTCTTTTCGCTACACGTGCAGCATGCACGCATGTTTTTGTTTTTTGTTTTTTTCCCACGCAGTCATTCTTGCTTCATCTCATCTTTGCCCAACCTGGCAACTAGTGTCCGTCACGGGGAAGAATTCCTGCCAAACTTGCTTTGATAGCTGCGTTCGTAGGACCAATGGCTGATAGGCTTTGGGCGCGTTTGGGCGCTGGTCAGTTGCCCAAATCTTCCTTTCCAGAAACCAAACACCCTGCTCCTTTCGCCCTGTGCTGTGGCGTTCATGTCATCCAAATGGAAGGCCCCTGAGTGCAGGAATGGAGAAACATCCCCTCAAGAGTCGTGGAAGCGGAAAAGTCCTCAAAGGCGCTTGTCCCCTCAACCTCTCCTGTCTGAAATCTTTGAAACTCTTCATGTCAAGGTTCTCTAAATGTGGGCCAGAAGCAAAACACATTTTTTGGTTTGGGGGAAAACTGAGCTGGTCATGGTTTTGTTTTTCCCCAACCCTCCCATCCTCTTCCATGATTGGGGAGCTCAATCGGGGGTGGTTTTCCACAATGCCCAGATTTTTCGTTTTTTCTTCAAGATTTCGGAGAGGTCTCCGTTGATCACGCCATGCGAGGTTCGTTCAACATATCTAATCGTCCGGACTTACCCTCCAAATTGTGGTTCAAACGTTTCCCACCCCAAACAACCAGTTCAGACACTTGAAAATGCAGCCACTCCAAGGGATCCAGAAATTGTCCATAGAGAAGAACTCCTGTACCAAATGGAATCACCAATCTTTGGGGTTCCATCTTCATTTGTAAGGGGATAAGCCATGTGGTCGCGATGGGGATTCTGGGCCAAACACCCAGTTGACCCCGGATTAATAAACCCGTCGTATAAATCGAACAGTGGCCCCCCCAAACATGTTCCGATTCCCCACAAAACCTAGAAAAACATCCCCTGAAAAATTATGGGGTTAAGATTCAATTCCCTCAAGAAAAGCCCAGGGACTTGTCGTTTGCACAAATGTTGCCCAGACCTTTCTGGGAGTCGTCTAAAAGAGACCCCTGTTTGGAGTTGGAGTTTGATAAGCCATTCGGTGTCGGTACACGCCTGGAAATACCAATTTGGCCTGGTTTTGGAATAGTTTGAAAAGTTGGGTTTGGTCATGGAAGCAGTCATGGTACCCTAAACAAGGCTGGGTATCTAAAGTAGGGGGCATTATGGATACCCATCCTGAAATTTCCTGCGACATGGGTCGGTGTTTTCGGAGTTGGTATCCTTTGCAGGTTGATTTTTAGGTTGGTCAGAGTCAGAGGGTACAGCTGGGTGAAAGATGGCACAACGTCCCTTCAGTTTGGTCATCCCCTTCACCCGCAACATGAAGGACATTGCTTTCTACTTTCACCTTGGTGTAATTCTATTTTCGGGGTTCAACTAGGGATTTCCTGCCAATTGGTGGTTTGGATTGATACTTTGCAGGGGTTTAGGGGGGTTCCAAACCACCAATCCAGACGTTAGCCACAAGAAGAGGTTCAAATCCAAGCCACAAAAGTTTAGACCAGCAACTAGAGGTGACCAGATTTTTCGGTTTGTCCGCGGGCTGCGCAGGACGTTTACCTAGAGGCCTTGGGCCCTGGATACAAAGCTCCGCCTTCCTTGCACGACCCCCGGGTGACGCTCATCGCGGACGACTGAATTCGGTTGGGCGAAAATTGGGAGCAACGGGGTTTTTGTATTACACCCTGGGAATACACTGGGTGTTGACCCCATTTAGGCACAAAAAAACCCGCATAATCGTGTTATTTTGAAGCATTCTGAGTCATTTCCCAAGAATTTGTAGTCTCAGGGTGTAATACAAAAACCCTCAGACAAAAAATCATCGTAACCTCCAAATACCTCTGCTCTGTTGAGGGTATGATGTCATATCGCCATCCCATGAGTGAAAACAGGGGTTGTTTACCATGAGAAGCCAGCATTTTTCAATGTACCAACTCAAACACATGTTGGGTGCGTGTTGGTCAAGGGCCCACAAGGTTAACCTTTACTTTTCGAGCTTCTTTCGAGAAATTTAACAGAACCCTGGGCCCCTGAGGAAAGCGAAATTGTTAACACCAAAAGCCTTCCATATGGGGATTCTCAAAATGTTTGTCTTTCCCTTTTCGCACCCATTTTGGGGCACCCATTTTGGGGGTTCATCTTTGAGAAACCATACAGTCCTGGCGCCCGAGAAGACCGGTTCGGCTTGAACCGGGAAGCCCGGCGTTTTCGATCGATGCTCAAGCACCTACTGACTGCTACCAAATCGAGAAGCTTTTCCCCTCACACGAACAGGGGTAACCTCGCAGCACCGCAAATGCAATCATTGGGACCGCCAGAAAACAAAGCGAGCATACGTCAAAACTCAGGATGTCACATTGTTTTTTCCCCCAGTTGCCAGGTGCCAGTTCAAGCTTGTTCCGATCTTTTCAGGATCCTTTTCGGATTTTTTCTCAGCCAAAAAGGTTCAACTCTTTACACTCGAAGTCTGGCCATATTTTTTTGTCAAGTGCTGCGCAGGGCTGGGGTGCTTCTAAGAGTTGATTCCAACCATTATTTTCAGCCATCATTCTTTTGATTTCCCCAAGGTTTTTGGTGGTTTTCCAGAAAGAAAGGACAGACTGGTTGGAAGTTAGCCCTAGAGTTCTTCTTTTTTTTTTTTCCTCCCCCCCCGGGCAGGACGGAGTTCTTCGTTGTTTTCGCTTTTCTCCCCGGGAAGGACGGCTCCATCCTGCAAGGGCCGCGCATCGTCGCCGGGAAGCGCCTCTACGACGCCATCCACCGCTTCGTGCCGGTGGTGCGGAACTTCACGTCCTCCATGCGGATTCTGCCCGCCTGCCTGGCGGGGGTGCCGAAAGACATTCTTCGATCTTCGGTTTGGCTCAAGACCGTTTTGTCCTGGACCCTGGGGCCACACCCTAGGGAAATCGCCCAAAAAGAACACCTGGACCCTCAACCTACCCTTAAGAATGGGTCATTGCGCCATAGATTTGGGGCTCCAGGTATACCTTTGGCTCCAAGACCTGGGATTCTCCCCCCTATTCCGGGGCTACACCCCAGGGAAATGACCCCAAATCATGCCAAAGCCAAAGAACCCGGGTTTTATTTGGGCATGGGCTAGAATTTCGGGTGATTCCCCAGAAGGCGCAAAAATCCAGGGTGTAATAGGAATAGTCTTGGACCGTAGCCCTCCAAAGCAAGTGATAGCCAGTGCACCCACCTTGTTGGTGGCCCCTTTGGTTTCCTTTTAAACCGAGAAGGGCAGGGTTTCACTTTTTGACCCCCAGACAAACCCAGGGTCGATGTCCCCCAAAAGGGAACCCCCTGGGTTTAAGTCGATCTGTTGTCCAAAAAGTGGAACCCTGCCCTTTCGGGTACCAGAAAAGGAACATCGCGCCGCCATCGCGCCGCCCGGCTGCCCAGAAGTTAGGTGGTGCACTACTGGTGCCTGGCCTTAAGTGTCCTGATCCACGCCCACTTTAGCAGGCGCCGGGGGATACTGGGGGTGGTGGTGTCCAATGATACTGTGGGTGGTTGCCAAATCCTGCTTCCCCTGTAAAAGGAGCTATGATAAAGGCACAAAACTTGGGGATTCCTTATTTCAGGTTTTTGAAGTATTGCAGCATTTGCGGATACTGACGAAATGTATTTCGCACCACCTAAGAAACCAGACTCAGAGCAAACCATGACGTTTGCTGGTAATTGCAGGGGAAACATCAGAAACCAGGGTTTTTTCAGGTGGTGCGAAATTCTCGTCCATCCACAGTAAGGACAGTCTGAATCCCTGAGGCTTCATGAGATTTTGTTCCAACCTTTCCCCATCAGCTGAACCCCCCAAAAAGCTTTGCAAGGTGAAATCATGTTCCCCCAGTTTCTGCCCCAAAGCCTTGGGTCAAAAAAGCAGGGGGGTCTCAGTTGCCTACTTACGATGGATTTCAGCAATTCGTCCCTTTCGGGACGGGACATCAAGAAGGAACCCTATTTTGCATGGGGACACCAATGAGGAAACCAATCGTTGAAAGAGAAGCCAGTGAGGAAACCAATCATATAGAGGGACGGCGCTAAGGGAGCCAATGAGAAACACCATACATTTCAGGAGGGATGAAAACGGAGGCAATTGAATGGGGGCCGGGACCCAAGTATCGTATCACCATTTTGTCTCCAAAACAAAGCCAATTTCAAGAAAGCAAAGCCTGGTGGTTCCCAGCAATCCCTTTAGCTCGCTTTTTCGCCTTTCAGTTGGTTGAGTGAGGGTTTCCATTTCAGCCACCAGTGAAAGTTTTAGGGGATCTGAAAACGGACCGCCCAGAAGGCCGGATGCTCGGGGCATCACAAAAGGCTTGGGGAAGAGCCGAACAGCCATTCGGGGAAGCAGAAGCATCTCCATGTCCATTCTGAACCCAGGGATCCGAAAATATTTTCAGGAAACGATCGAAAGACCAAGGGAAACAGCACCTTTAAATGGCAGTTTTAAACCTCACCTCTTTGGCCCATGAGAGGTGAGTGTTTTTTTTGGTGCGGATGCGATGTTTTAAGGGGAAGTATGGGGAGCCTTGAACGAGCCGAATGGAACCGAATGGGGAATCTACCTCTAGAGAACTGGGCCAATTGCTCCCATTCGGGTTCCATGGATTCCCATGAAATTAAGGGTTGCACCAAGTTAGACGAGGACAATCTGTAGGTAAACAATGGTGGTTATACGAGTTCAACCTCAGAGTGCTGCTTTGGATCGTTTCACAGCTGGGTTGGTTGTCGTCAGACACGTGTTCCCTATGTGCGGATGATGCTTTTGATGGGTAGTCAGCAACAAACGCACAGCATACGGAACTACTTACTCTAATCTGTGTAGTCATATTTTGACTTACAATAGTAAGACTCTCCCATTCTTTACGTGTGTAAGCAATTACATTCTTTAGCTTAGGGACTAGTCTGCAAGACTCGCAGCAGAGTGCTCCATGATTGTCATGCCATGTTTGTTTAGTCATACGTATACAACAATTATACATGTTAACATTCACGCACGTTTGTGTCTTGCGTTTGTTAAACCATGACCCATCAAACAAGTATATAGTATATCAGACAATGTACATGCAAACAGTTACAACTCTAGATGACAGTATTCTTGCTGGTATCTATGTAATCACATCTATCATGTCATCTGCCATGATATATATATATATATGTACATAGATAAGTACCACACATGCTCGCTGTTGTGGATGGACGAAATGCCGCACCACCTAAGCAACCCTGGTTTATGACTCGATTCCAAACAATGGTTTCAAAGATGGTTTCATCTTTCTGGTGCTCACTAGGGAATGAGGGAATGAACCCAGGGGTCCCCTTCAAGGAAACCACAAGTGATGATGTCTCGGGGTCATTCAGACATTCCCCGATCGCAGCAGCAAGATATATGTGAATTTGACCAAACCAGGTTGCAAGCCGTGATTCTGTTTTCACGGAAATATACGAACGGAAGGAACCTTCGCGGTCCGTCATCCGTCACCGATCGCAGCAGCAAGTCATCTTTTCGGGTGGATGTCATCCATCGAAAACGCATTGGGGCCTTGTCTCAGGCTGGAAAAAGCCATACCTCAAAAAAATAGGGTCATTACCCAAAGTCATGGGGGCATCAACCCATGAAAACAGGGTCATGGAGACTCCAGGTCAACCAAAGGCACCCTGCCTAGGGCTGCGCCTCAGGCAGCGGCTCCGGGCGTGGCTGGGGAACTACGGGCCGCGGGGCCAGTGGAAACACCTGGAGGGCTATGCGGAGCAGCCGGAGTACGTGCCACTCGGATGTCCCATGGGCGGCGAGCCGCCGCTTTTTTTTTTTTTCCGGGAGGGGCCAGTCAGTGCAGGGAGCAGCTAGGGAGGATTCCGAAGCTGTTGGGGAGTTTTGGGTGCGGGGGGGGAGGGAGGGGGGGCGGGGGTGGGTGGGTGGCGAGCGCCGTTTTTTTTGCTTCGACTGTCTTTGGAGGGGGGCCACTTTGAAGTCAGCTACCGAAAAAAGAATGTTCCACACTCAGTGGGTGCAAGCCCGCCTTTTTTTGGTCCGACTTTGCTTTTTGCGAGGGTGGGCTCCTTTCAACCAAACATGTTTCTTCATTTGTTAGTTTGCAACCATGCACAGTATGGCTGGTGCTCAGCACGGAATGAGGGAATGACCCCCATAAACAATCCCTTATGGATTCCCTTCCAGGAAATGCTTAGGTTCATGCCCAACACCCTGAGTCATTCCCTACTGAGCAACCGCCAGTGAGTTGGTTGTGTTCATTGTTATGGGCACACTGTTGCCCAGTGGATTCTGCCCCTTTTTTTTCTCCATTTTTTTTTGCCACCACCACCACCACCACCTTCTCCTCCTCCACCACCACCACCACCACCACCACCACCACCACCACCACAACCACTACCTCCACCACCACCACCACCACCTCCTCCTCCTCCTCCTCCACCACCACCACCACCACCACAACCACTACCTCCACCACCACCACCTCCACCACCTCCACCTCCACCTCCACCTCCACCTCCACCACCACCACCTCCACCACCTCCACCACCTCCACCTCCACCTCCACCTGCACCACCACCACCACCACCACCACCACAACCACCACCTCCACCACCTCCACCACCTCCACCACCACCACCTCCTCCTCCTCCACCACCACCACCACCACCACCACAACCACTACCTCCACCACCACCACCTCCACCACCTCCACCTCCACCTCCACCTCCACCTCCACCTCCACCTCCACCACCACCACCACAACCACCACCTCCACCACCTCCACCACCTCCACCACCTCCACCACCTCCACCACCTCCACCACCTCCACCACCTCCACCACCTCCACCACCTCCACCACCTCCACCACCTCCACCTCCACCACCACCACCACCACCACAACCACCACCTCCACCACCTCCACCACCACCACCACCTCCACCACCTCCACCTCCACCTCCACCTCCACCTCCACCTCCACCACCACCACCACCACAACCACCACCTCCACCACCTCCACCACCTCCACCACCTCCACCACCTCCACCACCTCCACCACCTCCACCACCTCCACCACCTCCACCTCCACCTCCACCACCACCACCACCACCACAACCACCAAGAGAAGCTCCCGGCCGATTTCGTTTCAGGAAGCTTTCCGCACGACCACTGAGCGAGGACACGGATCCCGGGGTGAAGGTGGGGATGCCTGCGAGCCGAACCTTGCTCGCTTGTGTCCCTTCACTACCCCCCTACAGATTAACATGGGAACCCCTCCAAAAAAGCCAAAGACCCACCCATGTGTAGAGGACACTCCTTTTGAGAAATGAACCCCCCCATTTTGGGTTCCAGGTTAGTTTGATGGGGAGTGCCCTATCTCGCCTGCTTGATCTTTTGCCCTATTGCCCTTTTGGGTTTCCTCTATTTTCTCTTGAAGCTTGACAACGCTTTAGCCAGACTGTCGACCCCGGAATCTGTTTTCCCCCAAAGTGATCTCTTAACGTGTTGCGGGGGCTGGTTGGGGGTTGTGGAAGGTGTAGTGGGGTTGTGGGAGGTGTAGTGGGGTGTGTCCGGGGGTAATGGCTTTTTGACTGGTTCGAATGTATCCCTGGACCCACGCTCCCCAATGCTGATTCGGGGTAGGCAACCAGGGAATTCGTAAATCCAACTGTCAGAATTAGGATGTGGGGTACTTGTCAACGCCAGATGTTCATGGTCAGATACCCTCCCCCCCAAAACACATCTTTGTTATAGAGGAAACCCCTAAACCACGAATCCAAACCACCAATCAGAGGCAAGCCCACTTTTTGATTTTGGGTGAAGGGTTGAGAAAGAAACTTGCAAGGAATACTCTTTCCCAGTTCCTAGTGGGCGGTGGGGCTCATGTTTTTGGAAGCACTTTTTGGAGGTCGCGGGCTTCGAAATCTACCCCAAGAAGGCGGCGCTCCCGAAAACCAGCGACACCATTCTGCAAGTCGGGGTCGCGACGTCCACAGTGCCCCAGTTGCAGCCAGCGCCAGTTTCATTTTTCTGCTCCTAGGCTGGTTTCGAACATTTCAGCATTTCCACAGCTTCGAAGGTTCCACCTTTCGCTTATCCAAGTTCCACCAAAGCAAAGCTCGTGTTTCCCACCAGGTTCCACCAGTTCCCAGGTTCCCTGCTCCCCATTCGCTTTGGTTTCCCTTTGGTTTTCAAAAGGGAAACGTGGAACCGGAGCCTGGTGGGGTGTGCCTCTTGGTGCAAAGTCGGCCGGTTTTCTGTGGTTGCCGCTAGATCTGGTCCAGCGAACCGGAGCATCTTTCTGGTTTCGGGAGTCGAAGGGAAACCGAAGGGTACTCTTCACTGTTCTTGGCATGTTTTTCGGTTTTTTAGTCTTTTGGTTCTGTTCATTTTTACTGGGGTCTGCAAAAAACTTTAAAAAACAAAGTTTGTTGCTACCATACCAAGAGTAGAGATGTACTTGAAGGAATTTGAAGGGAGTGATTTTGAAGGGAGACCAGTGAGGAAGCCAATTGCAAGGGGAAGCAATAAGGAAGTCAACAAAGGGGTTTGGTTCCAACCACCTCCCACGTCGGGGTTTTGGCAAAAAAAGCCGATGGCCAGCCATGAGCCCAAACGAAAGCCAACCCATTTCTTGCATGTGGTCACCAGCCAGAAGGGTTTTCCACTCTTCTAGGCGTTGATTCCATTTCCATTCTTTTCAAGCATCGCTCTTTCGCAAGAAACCGGATCCGTTTTTGTTCTGGGTTTCCGGAGGTGAAAGATTCGGACTGGGTTCATGGAATTGGAAGGTACCCCAAAAGGAAAACTAGTCACTCGCAAGGAAAGCCATCCCGGTTCTTTGTGGTCACCGGCCAGCAGCTTTTTCCACTCCCCTTGGCCCGGAATCCGCAGCTCAGGTTCTGCTTTGCGCGCTGGCGCTGTGCTGCAAGGTCTACATGCCGCTGGTGGAGACGACGGAGGTCTCGTCTTCTCACCAGGCGGGTTCGAGTGAGCGCAGGTGATGTGGCCATGGGTCAAGACCCCGTACCCCCAGTGAACATCCCAATCCCCACTAAAATAGACTAAAATGGGTGGTGCACCTATATTGGATCTTTAGACTTTGACGGTTTGGTTGACATCAAAAGGGGTTTGCCACGAAACCCATGGAAGGTTAAACAAGCTTTTTGCAGAGGGATGAGCGCAGCAACCAAGATGTTGACCCCTGGTTGATTCGGGGTTTAATGCGGGGGTGTCGTTTTCTAGTGGGGATGCATCACTTTGGGAGGGGAACACTTTCTACAGATTGGCCGATGTTGTAATAGTCCGAGAGATTCACCAGGCAACGCTTTCGCCGATTTGGCGCAGATTCCTCCATTGGGTCAAGCCACCAGGATCCCGCCAGGGGGAATTTAGACAATTAGCGGAACCTTGCAATGAATATGTGTTGTTTCTTTGTTGGTTTTGAAAGGACACTATCTCTGCACATATTTTCGGAATTTTATTTACCTGGATTATGGTATATATTTTTGATGCCAGGTGTTGATTTGGACTCACCGCTTCCAGGATCATGCCAAAAGTCAGTATCTGCGGTTGTTCCCTACCACTTTCGTGGTGACCCTGATGACAGTACACCAATTATCGACTTTCTGGGTAAGATGTCAACGCGTGACAGAAACATATACTATGGAGACATGTTTTTCAAGGGATACCCTTCAAAAACAGGAGGTATTTGGAATAGAGGCAGCGTTTTGCCCAGGGCTGTTTTGAGTTTCTGTTCTTGCGCAAGAAGTCGAGTCACCGGTTGCAGGGGGTCTATGTTTTGTTCCACTACCACGCCTGACACATGGGTGTGTCTTGATTCGAAGACCGCCCGCTCTGTTGTCGGGGGTCGGGTGCAGGTGAAAAATTGGGGTTTGGCCATCACAGAGTTCAGCCTATCTCAACCGCAGCTATTGATCCGGACGTGTTTGTTTTGGAGTTGCCACAGTCAGTGTTCAGACATGCCTAAGAGGCTGGCCCAACCCTGGTCGGATCCGTCGTCAGCCGGCCCAGAACCCCCTCGGCTCTAAGTTAGTATGTCTAAGTTTTTACTCTAAATCCAACAATAGCAGAACCACAAAAATCACATCCAATCCGTTACCTTGGTTTAAGGTAACCCCTGGTGGTTTGGATTGCTTGAACTCTTGTTTCTTGCAGAGAACTGGAATCCTTTCAACTCCAAACCATCAACTCAAAGGCTTAGCGGATTTCTTTCAGGTCGCCTTACCAAGCCGAAGGGAACACCGAGAACCGTTTTGGGACCCAAATCAAAAGACCCACGGCCCCCACATATCAGCCTTTGCAGGGCTCCTTAAAAGAAGTACATGTTGCAACCATTTGAAACATCTTGCTTTTTCACCACCAAAATAAAGAAACGGACACCATTGACAAGTTGCAATGTTCGATCGGTGTCTGCATCCGGATCCCCGTTTTGCACAGGAAGCCTCGCTGCTGGGGGCCGTTGCGCCCGCCAAGATGCCGGAGTCCTGGGGAACCCGACATCTGTGGCTGGTGTATCTGCCCCTCGATTTCTCTGTTTCAGAACAAAAATGCCAAGGCCGCCGGCTTTCGACTGGATGCGTTGTTTTCCAGTTTTTTTTTCTTTTTCTCCCGGTGTCGTTCCTGTGCCGTGGGGTGGATGTTCACTTCCACTTGGCTTCAGAATATGTTTGTCTTTTCGACTGTATTTGTTGCTGTGTTGCTTTTCTTCCGTGCTTTGGGGTTGGTGTTTATTTTTATGTTTTGTGTTTTGTGTTTTTTTCCTGTGCCTTGGGGTGGATGTTTACTTCCATTTGCTAAATTGTTCTTTGTTGGTTTTGAATGACTACTGGAAATATATCTATCTTTTGCAGGGGACAGGTGCGTCTTTTTCAGGGGACCCAAAATGGTAGCTTTCCTGTTGGTTTCCCTTTAAATCCACGAAAGGGGCACCCTCAAAAAGGCATCATGTTATAGTTTTGTTTTGTGTGGGTTTTCCTGTTTTGGCTCGCTTGTTTGTTGTTTTTCTTCGCGTTTGAAACGGCCTCTTGGCTCCCTATTTGGTCCGAAAGAAAATTGTAGGGGTATGTCTTTGTTTGAGGGTACCTTTTTTTTGTTTGGTAGTTAACGCAAAGGGAAAACAATTGTTGAACACCACCCATTTTGGGCCCCTAGATTGGCTTCAAAACGCCCGGCTGAGAATTTTTTAGGTTGACCTGGCTGCCTTTGATTCCGTACCGCATGATCAATGGCCTCTTCCTGTCGGCGGAATTCGCGCACCTGATCCGGAAGGCACGCAGAAACCAGTCCATGGCCACTTTTTGGAATTACCCTGGAAAAAGGGTGGTTCCAGGTGATCACGTTTTTGAATTATCCTAGAAAAAGGGTGGTTTCAGGTGGCCTCACGATGGGTATCACCAGGGCTACGTCCCAAAAACCGTGTAGGCGACTCGTCATTTCGACGCGACCTCGGAGGAGGCTTCGCCGGACGGGCGACAACTGGGGATCATCGAATGGACACTGGGCGCGGTCAACACGTTTTTTTCCACCAGGACTAGGTCCCCCAGTAGTGCCTTCTCTCCCTTGTTTTGGGGGAGGGTTCCCCTGCTAAGCTAGACTACAGAAAAAAGGGTACCCTTATTCTAACCTCTCTACTGGAGGACCTAGAAGACCAACAGGGAAGGCAAGGGGCAACTCCCACTTTTTGCATGGATCCTTTGTTCCCACAAAAGATATTTTTTGAGAAGCATGATTGGAAACGTCCGGTTGCTGAAGAATAGTTGTGATTTTCCCTTCGTTGGTTTGAAAGGAAGTCTGTCACTACAGGGGACTTAAGCAAACAGAAGAGCATAATTCGGAGTTTCCGCCTCAATCGAACTGTGCATGCTCTTCTTGGGGAACCAACGGCTGTGAGACCCGCAATCCCAAAGTTGGTTTGAGACAAGTGCCATACGAGTTCTTCACCAGCGAGATCCATGTGCTTTTCTCATTTTGCCAGGCCTCCAATTCGGATGTATAGGGGACCGAAACTACGGAATTTCGGGTTACCTTTTGGTTTGCCTCAAAATAATTCAACCCAAGAAGGGTAACCTGAAAGGAGAAGGTGCACCCAACGATCCGCCTTTTGTTTGTCGGATTACCCCAAGGGTCATGACCCTCCTACGCAGACCCCCAGACCCTCCAATTCTGCTCAGGAGCCCACGAAAACAACCAGTTTTGAGGGCCCAAAAACGATCGAGACCCTTAGCGTATATGGGAAAACAACTCGAACGCTTTCCGTAAGGAAGGTGGGCGACATGTGCCGCGACTGGTTCCTTTTGCTGCCGTGCGGCCTGCTGGTGGATTGTCTCAGCGTCCTCCAGCAGAAAGCGCATACGTTTTGATCACTTTCCAAAATTGTCTCAAAATAGGATGGATGTTCCAATTGGCGGTGTCCTTTTTTTCCCCCCTCGTGAAGGACATCAGCAAGGGTCTTAAAAAAGGCACACTCTTCTAAACCAGGGTCGTGGGAACGCGCGGTTGTTGTTTCTCACCAACCGGGGGAGTTTCCCTTCAGCCGCTTGCGGATGACTTCCATTTGCCTGGGAAACATGTTAATTTTCCGCTGTTGGTTTAAAGGGAATCTCAATTGGAAATGTGATTCCGGGGACTCAAGCCAATGGAGGGTTAGTGACCGCTTCTGTGATACCAAAAAGTCTCCGATAAAGAATCAGTCATTTCACAACCCGGCTCCAAACCGTTTGCCCGCTCCAAATGCCCGGTTGTTCATGTCAACCCCTGGCGTTTTGCGCTTGAAAGGGCATGTTCCCCAAAGCGGGGTATTAGAACTTCTACAGGAAATCTGCCAAAACCCGGGTTTTGGCAGTCTTCCGGCAGAACTTCCTGCCCCCCCTACTCCAAATACAAACACATATTAAGTTGGTAGTTTTTGGAAAGCGTTTCCAGGGTAAACGCTGAGCACTTGTTTAGTCAAGGGTTGACAACTCAAACCCTATCATGCCCCGAAAAAAGTTGGTATTTGGTGTGGGTTTCAATAACTTTTCCCAGCAACAGCCCAGTCAACGAAGAAACTAGATGGCAGTCACTTCTCTTGTATTGGTATTCCTTAGAGTCGGATGAGGGATCTCCCCCCATGTTGTTCCGAATTTTGGGAGGCGTCTTTTGCCCTTGGTCAGCAACAGACCGAATCAGGTCCATCCTTTCCTTCCTGTTCAAAGACCACTTTTCTGTAGAGTGCCCTTTTGCTGGTTTGCCGGATTTTCCTGCAACAACCCAAGCATGGCCGTCCTTTTCTTCCCGCCTCTCCACACTTTTGGGTTTTCTTCATTTTCTCTTGCAACCAGCAAAACCTCGGAGTCATTCGGATAGAGTGACCTTCAAACATGAAGATGTTCTTTCGGATTCCCTTTCCAAAAAAAATAAGGTACCCTTCCTCCCACGTTGCCATGGCATCTCTTTCGGGTACCTGGAAGATGAGTTTCCTCAAGAGAAAGAGATG